ATGAAGTTTCAAGTCTAAATAGTGTTTTCAAATTTAGTCCTTTCATTGAACAAAGGAATGTGAAGTCTGGATTTGTAAAGAAGTACAAAAAGAAATTGGCCAATTGATAACTTAAGACAATATATTAGCATAAAATGATAAAAACAAATCGCTTAGCAACATGAATTTCCTTCTTCTGGTCAGGAAGTGTCAGGATTGGTTATAGTTTTATAATTAACTGCTTGTACCTGCCATTTGTTAACGGCAATTTAAAATATGAACAATTTTTTTCTTTTAATATATACTTAATGCAGAGTCCGATTTAAACTTTGTGTGCCATATCTTCCAATAGATGATACTTCTTGGTATATACGCATTCTGATGAGATTCCCAATCTCTTATTCAAATATATAAATACTTATATAAGTAAAAAAAGATATTGATCATCAACTAGACCTAAATTTCTAATTGTGTTATTTTTCCAATGTTGTATTAATATGCATGCAAATATGTGGTCAAAAATATTTAACTGAAATGCATAAGACTTGCAATATTTTTTGTTTGTTTGTTGTTTTTTCTTTTTTAAATTCACATTCCAAATGAAACTTGTTTGACTCACAACCTTTTGAGCTTTTATTCATTAAGTGCTAACTATATATTAAATGTTATATATATTATTAAAAGCACATTAACAGGTTTTATTAATGCTACAATTGTGGGCTACATAGTCTTACTAAGTGCGATTTAAGATTGAGAATATTTGTATCAAATGTCCATTGTGTATAGTCAATCTTTGTCAGCCTTTCCTTTCTGCTTAAGGTCAAAGTATGTCTTTTCATGGACATCTGCAGATATTTTCCTCATTGATAATGAAAGTGCAAATTTTTTTCATAATTAATACTTTAATTATGTGTGTGCCTCAGATTTTACTGAGGTCAACACCAAGTGGCAACAATGTTTCATGGATGAACACAGTCTTCATGCCATGTGTGTTGGCTTGACTATATATGCCAGTCACTGATGCATTATAGGCAGAGTAAAGTCTATTGTATTCTCCTAATGGTTATGTTTCAAATTATTCTAGAGGCAATTGGGTAATTGTGGATCTGAATCTATTTGTAGCTATTTTATAGTGTTAACTTTTTACTCATTTATTATTGATTACTTAATTAGTTGTTAATTATTATAACATTTTGTGTTTGTGTGCATTCATAGCTTAATTTGTTTATTACTTAATTTGTTTATTTTTTTTTTTTTTTTTCCTCTGGGATTGATTATCTATTTGTTTAAAGTGTTGGATTTGCCTAAAGCATGTTACATAATATGTTGTATATAGTTTATATATTTACATTAACATGGGGGAATTTTACAAGGTATTCACTTTTAGTTTTAAGTTTTTTAGTAACATAAAAATTTGTTTTTGTGTCTGCATGAAACACTCTTCAGTTGGTGTTGACTTCGGTGCCCACTTTTATATTTACATACACTCTGATATTGATCACTTTTACCTAGAAATATAGGATGTCTTAAAAGTATGTTGAAAGAATTTTCAAGATGTTGTGTTAAAGCTATAAGATTCTTGATATTGTATTCAGTGTGCTTCAGATTCCTTTATGGTCAAACCTGCTAGTCATGTAACCAGCATTATTTAATTTTATAACAAAAAGAGCTATAAAATCTAATGCTTGCTGACATTCACTTCATCTTTTGTCTTTAGATTTTATTTAAGAATTTATTGGTTTTATCTTTCAAGGGAGTTAATTGCAGAAACGTTTTAGTAAAGATAAACTTATTCATAAAATGCATCAATCAGAATGATTACATAACCTTTATAATTTAAATGAATAAGATTATATTAAAGTTGATTTGGTCTTCACATAATTAACTCAAATTATTATTAAAGATCTTTTTGGCTATGAGAAGTAAATTTTAAATCTTCTGACAATATTTTAACAAAAATTGAGGTCATAAAAAAACATCTTATACTGAAAATGTTAATTATTTTCTTTGTCAAATGAAAATATCAATTTAGAAGTGAAAGTGTATGTTGATATGATACCGGTCATAAAAATGTTTTTATACTTCTGGTTCTTTTAATGAATTAATTAAAAATAACTCTTCATGTTAACTAATAGCAAAAACAAACTTTTTACCCAACCCAATGACTCAAATTCTATGTATTTTATAAAGGCACCTCCACTGAATTTTTGATACCTAGGTTTTAAAATTAAATTTTAAAAATGAAAAAGCATTCTTGAAGATTTCATTCTAGTTTTAATTGAAAGCTAAATGATTAAATTTATTATTTCAAGTAGTAAAATATTCCAGTGTATTTCAGATAGAAATTATATAGATTGGAATATCAAATAATTGCTAGATTTTTAAAAAATTTTCTTAAAAGTGGCCATTTTTCTTAATTTTTTAAGAAATTTGTAAAACACATTTATTGGGTTTTAAATTCTTTAAAAATTAAATTATAGATTTGTTACACATTATTTGAGTAAAATTAGAAAATTTAAAGTTAAATCAATCTGATTTGAAATAAATATTACTAACTTATAGCATTAAAAAAAAAACAATATACAAGCATTTCTTAATGATGGGTTCATCTTTGATCTTTATTGATTTATGGAGAAGGACTTAAGGTGATGACAGCCCTTATGTATGATCAGAAATGACATTTACGAAAACTAAGTGAACGCTTTTTTTTTCTTTTTTTTTTTTTTTTTTTTTTAGTTTTTAACTACCTGGTAATTTTTACAAATTAACGTTTTCAGCAATTATTTAATATTTTATTGATCTTTTAGTTAAGTTTTTAAGAAGCTTTATGAAATTTGCATTTCGTTTCTAGGTTCTTAAGTTTACTTCCTTAAACAAAAAAAAAATTGTATGGCCCAAACTAAAATACATAAAATAAAAATATTTAGTGAAATAGCAGTTAAGAAAAGTAAACTTTTTTTCTTATATTTTGAAAGGATGATTTGCAAAGACGTTAATGATGAAACAGAACTGAATTAAAAGTTAAATAATTGCAGTGTGTCAGACAACACTTAAATCACTTGACCTTTTTAAGGATTATGTCATCTATAGATTCCCATAGGTAGAAGTTAGGAACATTTTTTCACTAAAAATTATTTTAAAAATATTCAGGTTCAAACGACTGTTATGAGCTGTTCAAATTTCAAATTGTAAATTTACTCTGCACTTAACAATATCACCAAACCGCCGTCTTGAAAGCAATGAAGAATTTTAAACGATTTTTGAACTATTATATTATCATAATTAGAATTTTTAAAAAAATGAAAAAATTCTAAAATTTTATTTCTTCAGACAATGTTCTTTATTATAATTTATTTACAAAAGCGATTAAAAGCTTTTTTTTTTAATTAATGTCATAGTTTGATGCATTTTTTTATTTTAGAATTCAGTGCAGATTTTTGATGAAACAGGTAACTGTTTTACAAAAAAAAAAAATTGATTACTTTCTCCAAAGAGTCCTGTTTTTAACTCATAAAAAAAATCCTCCACTTAAAAATTTAAATTCTCAATTTCATGAATTTTGATGTGTAAAAAAAAAAAAAATTTTTACCAAGATTTTCTAAAAAAAAAAAAATTTCAAAAATAATTTCAATCATTTCTGAATGTCCTGAAATTTTCATTAAAGTCCAACAATTATTTGAATTTTGCAAGAATTTCCAAATTGTTGTTTTCCTCGGAAAAAGTCCAAAATAAAACGAACCCTTTTTTCTAGTTCGACACTGTCGTAAAAAAAAAAAAAAACACAAGATTTTTAACCAAAACTTCAAACCTGCTAGACAGGAGTAAAAAATTTCAAAAAATAATAAAAAAAAAAATACTTTGGTCTTTCCTCTTAATAACAGAGATTTTGATGATAAAACTTTATTTTTATTGGGTTTGGGGCCTTTTTCATCATGTTATGCTTTTTTTTATGCAACCTAGTGTAGGCACTTATTATTATTATAGAATATTTTCATTACTGTAACTGTTAATTTTAGTGGATGCACCATTTATTTATTAAATAGTATATTTATTTATTCTTGTCAACTGGTCTGAATATTTTAGAAATCTTATTAAAGAAAAATATGCTGGAGAGTTATACAAATCTGTCAGATTAAATAAAAAATCCATTTTAGAATATGTCTTCATATTTTTTTTTATTTTAATTAAAAAAAAACAAAAAAAAGATGCATTTGTCTAAACTAATGCTATCTCTGTTCCTTCTGATTATTTTCATTAGAAAAACATCTGGATTGTAATCATTTTGTAATAACCTCCTTTCTCTCCCGAAAATTGTGAGCCTTTCAAATATCTGTCTTTTAAATAAATTTTTTCTTTTCATCTTACACCCTATTCAAGACTAATCTCTACCATTGATCACATGTGAATTCATAGTGGCAGATCTAAATTGTTCTGGACCATAGGAACTGCTGTGTCCCAGAATGTTACACTAAAGAATGTTAAAATCTACAACAACTATGTAGTGATTTTGTTCTCTCTTCATGAGTTTAAATGCCATGTTTTATTAGGATTTCATGCTTTCTACTTTTGATTCTCCATTTAAGCAGAAGACCTAACAAAGATTAAATGGTTGGTAATGGTAACCAATGTGCAATACTACAATGTTGTTAGTTGAAATGGAAATTTTAGTTGTATTCTTTTATAATTAAGAAAACAAAAACTTAGAACTTATGAGAAATTCAGATGTAATCCTTTGACTGTTTTTAGTTTTGTTACCTGCATCAATTGTGTGTGTGTGGGCCAACTATCTCCCAAGAATATCTAAATCTGATAAATGCAAATTCTCTGGACAAAATTTTTATAAGCACAACAATAGATTGTCCTAAGAATATTTTCTTCTTGCTAAATTGAAGTTGCTCACTGTCTTTTTGCCAATTTTTTGCCCACTCAGATTTTATATATGAAATCTTGTTACCAAAATATTTTCTTTTTATTCTATTTTACATTGTTTTAATACAATTTTCTTTCTGTATTTATTTCAGTCATTGAAGAGTAGCGGTTCATCTCAGCTTGAAAATGGAAATGATGCTTCTGATGAACAGAATGCATCTGCAAACTCACTAAGTCCTGAAAAGATGGATGTTACCTCTGAAAAGTCTCTTTCTCCACCAGTGCTCACAAAGGAAACTGATAACAGTGAGCAGAATGGCGGCAAGAAAGAAAATCAGGAAATGGAAAATAAGGATAGCAAAGATACCGATATGGAAGTAGATCCACAGGACGCTGAGCAAAATGCACAAGATAAAATGAACTCTGACAAAATGTGCCAGCCTCCTTCTCTTGATAACTTTGACAAGGCCAAGGACTCGAGTCCTTATAGTAATGCACCAACCTTAGATAAGACTGATGATAATGACGACGATGCATCGGTTAGCTCTAAGATTGATAGCAAAGAGGAAATGCAAAGTAATCATGAAGAAGAAGCAAAAGAACGTGAAAAGGAAGAAAATGACAAAGAATTTAAGTCTGAGACTGACCAGAATAAAGATGGTGAAAAGAAAGAGGAAGAATCTGATAGCAAAGATAAGACAAAAGTTGAAATGAAGGACAATGAAAATGATGCCAACAGCAAGAAGAAAGATGAAGCCAAAGGTGAGGATGTGAAGGAAGATGAGAACAAAGAAAGCAAAGAAAAGTCTAGTAAGACAAAAACATCTAAAGATGAGACAAAGGACAAAACGGAAAAGTCAGAGAAAGATGCCAAAGATTCTAGTGATAAGTCTAAGGCTCCTGAGAAACCAGATATTGGTAGAATCTCACCACGTAGAACTAGAAGCCAAAATAGAACAAAACCGGTTACTACGTACCTTGAAGAGGATTTTGATGACGAGGATGATCTGGATCTTCAGATCACTGCTGTTTCTGGAGGTGTAGATGCACAGGTATAACAAAAATGATATTGGATTCTCTTTTTTTTTTCTTTGATTTCATATAAATCTTCTGTTTAAATATATTTCTTCTAAATGTTGTGATTTGATGAACTTCAAAGCTAAAGTACCTTGGAATAAATGTTAATGACACCTGGCTCCAGGCTTCTGTAGTTTAAATGGGTACAGTAGTATCTTAAGAATCTTTTGGTATATGGAATGCAAATTAATCTTATTTTAATATTTCATATTACTTGAATGCAGTGGTTCACAACTTTTTTTCTTTTTTTTTTATACTCATGGACGGAACCACTTTTACTCTGAATTTATTTTGGTGTACCACCATAACCATTTCATGAAATAAAAGCTTTTTATTTTTTTTACTAATAGATAAGTTTAGGAATTGTATTATCGAAATTATGTATATGCTTCCTTTTTATATATAATCCTTATATAATTTTTATATTAAATTAATTTCATTTTTAATATTATTATTAATATATTAAATTAATTTATATAATAAATTATAATTTCCTTTTTATTTATTATATATATATATATATATATATATATATATACTCAATTTTCATTCAACTTTTTCAGTCAAAACATCCAGTAGTGTAAAAGGAATACTAACTTACATCACTTGATCCTGTTTCTGCTAGTTGCTTTTCTATTTTTAGTATTTTAATATGGTATAGATTATGGTAGAAATTCTGATTCTCAGTTGTAACAACCAAATTGAAATAGTCCTATGGACCCTGGTTGAGAACTACTGCTTTAATGTGACTATGTATGTCAAATACCATAAAGATATTTGATATAAAAGGAAGCAATAAGATTTATCCCCCTAAAGAAGGGGGGGGGGGCTAAAATTACAATTTTAAGCCTCAAGTTTGCAAGTATGATAGATATGAGTATGATAGATATAAGTATGGTAGATATGAGTATGATAGATATGAGTATGATAGATATGAGTATGGTAGATATGAGTATGGTAGATAATGTGGAGTTTTGACTTTGATTCTTAATACTTTTGAACCAAACATTTTTGTAATTAGCTGCCTTAAAAAAAAAAAAAGTTATTTTTTGTCTTGAATTTCTTTTAAACCTATTTTTCATTGTTATTTCTTCAAAGTTTGTTTTTAATGAAAATATAACCAATAAATAGCCTGTCAAGTGCCGTTTCTGTAGCAATAACTTCATCAGATCTGAAGATGCCACTATTTGAACATGATGCACAAAAGTGGCAGATGAGTTAAAATTTTGGCAAATTGTTTCCAATATTCAGTGACTTTATTACTTGCAAACTATAACATTCAAACATTTTAAAAAATGATCTCTTTTGAATATAAAATGAAATTATTTTCAAGTTTTAATGAAAATAAAACTTAATTCACAATCATTTCCATAAGATGCTTAAAGTACAAACTGTCAGTTCTTGTTTGGATGTTTTAATCACTGCTTTTTCATTGGATTAAGTCATTCAATGTTGTTGTTCATTGTTTTCTCATCACTTCTGGCCATTTGTCCTATGGCCTGTCTTTGATATCTGATGAGTGTAGAATTTTTGTTTTGGGAACATGTGTGCATCTGCAGAGATGCAAAAACTGGACATGACCTGTTGTGGTGGGTGAGTATATGCATTCCTAAAATAGGATTTCACTCCTGAGGAAGGCTGCAGAGTAGACGGTCAGAATGTTGTGATAAATCAAAGAAAACCATATACAGAAGAAAACATTTTGCTAAATTTTTATTACCCAATCACCTCAGGTTATGATAATTAAAAAAAAAAACAACTTAATTTTGGGTTATTAGGTATATTGTATTTTAATGTGATTTGCTTTAATGTATGTCATAAGCTAAGACAGTGTCTTAGAAAAAAATTTAAACCTTATTTTTATTGTAAATCAATTGCAACTGATCATCTCTCTTAACCATATCTAAATGTTTGCTATTTCATTTAGGGATCCTATTTTCTTGCATTATATAATAGTTAAATGCATTTATAGTTTTTTTGGATTTTATTGAATTTAACAAAAAACAAAAAAAATCACAATACTGAAAGGAAACCAAATACAAAACTTCCCTCTTGAAATTAAAAAAAAAAAAAAAAAAAGTAACTAGTTTGTTGTAATATATGTGTGTATCTGTGTGTGCATCTGTTATTTTTTTCCTGTAGAACTTGTTTGCTTAATTTATCTGTTTTATTTTTACTTTCAGTTGACTAGTAAATCTGTTTCCCGATCAGGTAAATATTTTTATCTTTTATATCCTGTGTGCTTGTTGAATATTTTTATTAAATGGTTGATAATTTTGATTAATTCTCTTGTAAATATCTCTGAATGTACATATTAAAAAAAAAAATCTGTTTTAATTCTAATGTGAGAATCTTGATTGGGCTATGTTGAATTGATTCGCTAGCTATAGGTTTTTTCTCCCTTCTTGCTGCTATATCAAAACCCTAAACTTGATTGGGAAGTGAAGTAGATTATAATGCCAGCATAATAAAATTTGTAAAATGAATTGAGCCTGGCTCTAGAATACCATACCTTCCAACCAAGTAGCACTTGATTCTGAATGTTTTCATTTTTTTTTTTTTTTTCTTTTCTTTTTCCCCTCACTTATTGAAAGTGGATGGTTGCTTTGAAGTCCTCATGTTTAGACTTCTACATCAATGCTCTAGACCCAGATAAAATCATGGGTGTCCTGAGAAGTAGCTCATTTTGTCACAGATTACATTGTTTGGATGCATGAGTTTAAAAAGCTATTGGCTAGACACGGATTTGAGTATTGTGCAACTTCTTAGTAGTTTTGAGTTTTTGTATTTTCTGAAGCACAATTGAAAGTTTTTGTATTAAAATTCAAACCATTTTATTTCCTTGATATCAATAAATAAAATTGAATTTATTTTTTCCACCCCCATAGGTAAATCAGATACAAAGATTCAAGGATCAAAGTCCTCTAAGTCAATCCAAAAATGTATTGTGTGTCACAAGGTAAGTTCACAATAATTTGATTATCATCTCCTCCACCAACTATTAAAAAAAAAATAAGTTTTCTCAGATTTATTTCAAACAATTTAAACTTTTCTCCAAAGCAAAAATAAATATCACTTTATGTCCAAGTTGATGAATTTGTTTTTTTTTCTTTCTCTCTCTCTCTAATGGCCTCTGATGATTGCTAAATTATAGACTTTAGCAGCATTTAGACATTGTGTAAGCCTTTTTTTAACCTGTTAGCTCCTATGAGTATATTGTAACTACAGTTTTTCAATGCTTGCTGCAGGTTGTCTTTAGCTAAAGTGTTCCATTAGCTATTTGTATCTTGTTATAGAAAGTAAAATGTTAAACTCAGAGGCTCCAGCTAACTACTTCAATTTACTAGAAAAATACTACGACTTTATTATTTTGTGTTAGGAAATGTTAGACCTGAAGTGAGGTGGTCTATACTAATTTCATTGGAAACAAGATTATGTAGGGATGGAAAGGTATCTTGGTTTGGACCAGGACAGAAAGATTTTTTGCCAAAATCTGAAAATATAAAGGTACCTCTTGGGAATGATAATTTTTCCTGGCAAAAAATGTTTTCCTATTCAAAATTTCTATTGAATGCAGCCTATTTTAGTGACTTTTTACTAAGATTAAAGACACTCCTGCATTATTTACCAGCATATACCATTATCTATCATTGATGAGGGATACATTCCCATTATCTTTTGATGTGTTTCCCAGTCTGAGATATTTTCTGTTATTTAGGCATATGTTTGAGACTTATGGAATATGAGTAGCCACTCTGTTATTACAATCTCCCATATTACTATATTACTTGGATATTTTAGTGTTTGAAATAAATTTCAAAACATTAACTTTGATAATTTCTTAAAATTATTTTCTAATTTAAGATCAATGCTATATTAATAATCTTTCCTTGTGATTTAAAACTTTTGGAGTTGCTCAGTTTTTTTTTTGTTTGTTTTTTTTACCTTTCTTGTTGAAGGTTGGTAAATGCAAGTACAACATTGTTCGGAATGGAGACATAAAGCACTTATGTGATGATGAGTGTTTCCGTCAATTTCGAGTTAATCCTACTGTGTATCTTCGTACAACGTCCCCAAGTTCAGCACCAACACCTGTACCAACCTCAACAGTGACATCCCACTTGGAACCACCACCAGCACCAGCCCACTACAAGACATGTAGTGTTTGCCAGCTGATGAATATCAACACCAACAAACACTTCCTTAACTGGCAAGGCTTAGATTTTTGTGGCGAGGAGTGCCTGGGAAAGTTCCAAAGCAGTCTTGGAGGCACCTGTTCATTTTGCGGATCACAGGTAGGTTCACAATTGTGTTTAATTGAAAGCAATGAGTCGAAAGTTATTCCTTATAGTGGCTGCTGCTAGAAAATATATTGAGAAACTTAAATATTTTAAAGTACTTTTGTTTTATTTGAATTTTTTTTTTTTTTTTTTTTGAGAGGGAAGTGATATCAGTATGGTGGAAAACAGCAAAAAGAATAAAAGGTCAAGCTTATTTTCCCCTAAAAAAAAAAAAAATACCATGTCCAAACATGGAAGGGTTAGTGTCTGTTGATTATGTATTTTGTCTGACATGGTAAATATTTATCCAGAAAACGTCTTTCTAAATGATTTTGAAACTTTGCTTAAGTATTTTATTGTTCATAATCAACTTAATCTCAGATTGAGCCCTTTAATCTTTTTCAACTTTTTGAAAAAATTCTCAATAAGTGGTAATTTCAACTATATTTTTTTTTTAATCTCTATCTCTAAATAATTACTAAATTTTGTCACAAGGCCACACTAGGAGAATGCAAGTAAGAATTTCATTTGATACCCAAGTAAACGTTCTGCAAGACTGGTTTGTTAACTAATGCTTAACAGCAAATGTCTAATATATTCTAAAATTAACTGATCTTATTCATGTGTTTCTTTACTTAATAGAAATGAAAATTACACTAATTACACCTATATGCATAATTGGTCTAGTCGGAGGAAACATGAACTTAAGTGTGTAGGATTATTCTAATTAAAAATCTGATGTAATGGAATAACCTGTCACCCCCATGAGTATCACCCCATCTACACTATAGATAGTAACTACCTATAAGTATGTGTAAATCAATGGACTACAAAGTCTAGCTGAAATCTTTTTCAGCTGTACTGTCAAACACTCTGCCTTCGGACAGAAAGGAACCTGGACGCGGCTATGCCGAAGGGCAGTAACGTTCGGGGTGGTAGACAGATCTGATCCTGTTTATGTGGGGTCCATGGGGAGCCTATGGACTCAGGAACCCCACATTAAATTCGGCCTTGTGCCACATGGAGCAGTTGTTAGATACTCTAGCTGGGATCTGTTGAGCACGACTCAGACTTACACGAGAACTACCAACTTTCCAATAATAGCACTCTTGACTTTCGACAGCATTGTACATAACTGTTACCTTTATTCTTATTGTACTGGTTTTTGACAATAAACCTTTACTTATTTTATCCACCTTGTTTTTCAAGTATATATTACTATTAGCACGGAATATAACAAAATCTTTCAAAGGAACAAAAAAATAAAATTGCCTAAAACATTTGCTAATTTTGGGGTTGGGCAAGAAGCAGGCAGATAATTCACCCACTTTATTTTTCTTTTTTTTCTAAATATATTAACTTGTTATTTTCAGAAATTGCAACCCTAGCTAGATGGACATAAGTTGTATTTTCTTACTTGTAAAATCACAGAACATTTTTTTTCTCTTCACACAAAATACCAAACTTGGATATAATTTGCAAGAATTAAAAATAAAAAAATTGAAGGATACTTTATAAACAATTTTTATATATTTAAAGAAAAGAATTAAACGTTTTCTTAATTGTTTCCTCCCCACTTCCCTGCATAAAAACGAAATACAAGTAAGCAAATGTAAGTAACCTTACCTCTTTTCATTGAGTTAGTGGGGAGGTGTCGGTGAAGGGAGAGCTTATAACATATTGCAGCAGAATTACTGGCCGACTTTTTTATATCCTTTTTTATTCTTATCCTGTCATCAGCCTGAAATGTGGGTAATCATTTATTTTTTTTTTTATTTATTATTTTCATAGATTAATTTAAAATAATTAACATTTACTTGCACTAGAAAAAAATTATAGAGGAAGTAATTTTTATTTTAGCATCATAACTTTTTAATCACATTAAATTGGAATATTTTCAATTCAAAGTTAATTTGTTTTTTTACTAAAAATATAGTTGAAACTATATTTAAAATTTATACCATGCTTGTCTCTTTTTCTTTTAAGACAGTGATTCTAGTCAATCTAAAATATTGCTGTTAATATTTTTAAATTGAAAATGGTTGTCAGTTGCTTTAATAATTAATTGACATAGTCTTAAATGTATGACTGCAATATACAATAAAATAAAAACATTTAAGAGTATTGTCTATAAGTTTGGAATGCAAGTTTCTTGTTTCAAAACGTAAATTAAATTTTAATATCTTTTCTCCAATCTTATACCAAAAATATCTTTGTTTTAGGTTCCTCCATCAGCCAAAGCTAAATATTGTCTGAAGCTAGGCACCGAGATCAAACAGTTCTGCGGAACACAATGTCATGCCCAGTTTAAGAAACGCCTCAAAGTGTGTTCCTACTGCCAGAAAGATCTGACAAATGTGTCTGATTCTTTCATGGCACCTGTTGGCTGGGAACAGGGTGTCTTCAAAGACTTTTGCAGCCAGTCCTGTTTGCAAAAGTATGAAGAAAAAAACAACAAAGATGTTGAAATTATTGGTGTTGAACAGACCAAGAAGAACCAGCCATGTGCAGTTTGTGGTAAGGTGTGGGTAGTGAAGCACGAAATAAAATTTGAGGGTAAAGTGCACAAGATGTGCAGTGATCCCTGTTTTTCTGCATTTCAGTATGCAAATAAACTAACAATGAACACATGCGATAACTGTGGAGTGTACTGCTACAACGAAGGAATGCAACCTCAGTACATTCAGTTTGAGGGCAATCAGAAGAGGTTCTGTAGTTACATGTGTGTCAATACGTTCAGAGCCCTCAACAAAAAGGTCGTCTCTTGTGCATGGTGTGGGTCCAAGAAAAGCAACTTTGACATGATTGAGCGTGTGGATGCCAACAACAAATACCAACTGTTCTGTTCTCTCAACTGTCTTTCCTTATACCGAGTGAATCTACAAGCCACTTCCAATCAGGCCGTGACCTGTGATCAATGTCGCAAATTTGTACCTGCTCAGTATCACCTGACTATGAGTGATGCATCTGTTAGAAACTTTTGTTCATACAATTGTGTGATGGCATTTCAATCACAATTCTCGTCCCCTTCTTCAGGAGGGGCCTCGGGGACTTCTACATTGCAGTCAAAAAGTCAGTCTTCTGGACAGATACCAACGCCGAAGTCTTCGAGGCCAGCAACTAGAAGTAAGTTAATTGTCTCTACTTTTGGTTATGCTAATTATTTATTTTTTCTTATGTTGTCTCCAATAAATTTACAAGTTTATTATTTTGTGAACTTGCTGTTCATTTTAGTTGGTGGTTACACTGGTTTTTGCTACTAAAATAATCCTATGTTAGCTTGTTAGCAGTTAAATATATTACATTTGGTTTACAGCTTTGGATAAGTTGTATGTAGTGAGTTTGTGTTGCATTAAAACAAGTGAAGATTTCCGACAATAGAAGTAAATACATGAGAATTATCTTAACCAATCTTTTCCTGTGTTCATATTTGTTGCTTCTAAATTGAATTGACCAATGAGTTAATTGAAAGTAAATTGGTTGTTTTATTTATTTATATGAAGTTTTGTGTGAATAAACCAAAGGACAACTATATTTTCATTCAGTACTCAAGAATTGTATAGGTTCTTCTGAATTATTCTCAATCACAGCATTTCTCAACCTTTTTACCCTTGTGGAACCCTTGAAATAGTTTTTCTCTTGGGGGGGGGGATCCTGTATATAAATTGTTATATACCATTATTAATACTCTTTCTTTTATATTTTATTACGATAACCAATGATTTTTCAATGATATGCTCTACTTGTATAGTAAAATTACAAATATAAAATTAAACAAAAATTACTTAAAAACTCAGTCTATTTATCACTGTTTCTTGCAGTACCTTAGGGTTCTGAGGAACACCAGTTGAGAAACGTTGCTCTGTCCTAAAATACACAATAATTAAATATTCTGTTTCTGTTTTGGGTTAAAAAGTACAGGAGCAGTTGTACAAGAGGCTTAACTGAAATGTTCTTGACTCGAACCATTTCTGACCAAATGACAAAGCATCAGTGTTTGTGTATTTGTTTGTCTTCTTGGTCAGAGAGAACTTTTCAGTATCCTCTTTGTATATTTCAAAAAGAATTCTGTACTGTTGTAAATTGAATAAGTAGACTCATTTCCATATTTTTCTACTGATTTTCAAGCTAACTTGGGTTTTTAGAAATGCAGCTTTGAATGTTTTTTTTGTGAATTTTTCATATTAAATAAATGCTTAAACATTTTGCATAGTTGTACAGTATTTCAATGTTTTTCATATTCTATACTGTCCCAAAAAGAGCCATAAATTCTTCAAATTTACTAAAAAAAAAAAAAAATTTAAGATGAAAGAACCTTGCGAATGGTAATATCTTAAGATTTCAAGGATTAATAATTGATCTTGTCCATTGGGTGTGTGTGAATTACTCAGCTTAATTGTTATATTGATGAACAAATAAAAATACACATACGCTTTACCATTCTGTATTGACGTTCAATCTCTATTGGAAATGATTAGGGAAGCATTTTGTTTTGGAGGAATTGAATAAATTAAAACATGAAATCCCAAGAAATATTGAATCCAATTATCATTTAATCTTTTTTTTTAAATAGTCACATTTCATATGACTTGGAGATTGTCAATTTTGCAGGGAATAAAACCAAACTTTAGAATCTTAAACTTTTTACTAATTTTCTAGTGTCATCCACATAAAATTTGCATGACAATTAAGATTTCTTATTTAATGAAGTTCATTGGCAGATTTATAAAGTTAACTTTGCATTTGGAAAAGGAAGTTTTATTTATTCTATGAATTTGTATGTCATTCAATGACTGTTTCTTCACCATATTTCTATTTTGTGTTAAATTTGAATAACAACTTGCAACCTTTTTGCTTACAATGAATTATAAGCATAATATTTATCACCCCCTCCACTGTTTGCTATGATCTTTTTTTATTATTCAGACAGCATTTTGGTTTGGAAATATGTAAATTTCATACTAGACTAATTATTAAAAATCAATTTCCAGTTCTGGAGCTGCACACTTTTCACTTTCTAGCCTTGATGGAGTTCAAAATCATTTGCTCAATCTTGTGGGGACAAATTGTTCTTAACTCTTCAACCTCTTTCCAACATAACCAATGTCACAAGCCTGTTTCATGGCAAATGTTCAGATGAGCTCTTTTCTTTAGTTCAATCAATTCAGACCTTTACAGCTGGGACATCTTGCTATATCCATAGAGTTGAATCCCCCTCATTACCTCCGTATTCCAAATGTAAGGGGAGAGCCCCCCCCAATGAATTGCTACTTTGTGGAAGTTTCTCCTGTGTAGGTGCTTCCCTGAAAACTAAAACTTTAAGGCATTTCTGGTAACAGTGTTAAAAAAAAAAAACTTGATATATCTGTATACATAATAAAACTACCTATTCATCTTTTGATCTAATGAGACAACTATTTATTCCTGTCTTTATGATGTCTGATTGGTTTGATAAGATCAAGTTGGCAGCTGATGTCAAAAAATGACCTACAACTGGGGCACAAAATAGCTGGTTAATTTTAATGCCTTCAAAATGATACTGATACTGATCTTTTTAGAGAACATTTTATTACCTTCCAACAGCATGGCTGATGCTGACCTCTAGGAAAGTGATTCATTGCACCTTTTTGGGGTTAATGTTTTCCACTTGAATGAAAGGGAAAGATTATTGAATCAATTGCTAGGTCAGCTTTTAGCAAAGTTGGTTCACTGTGTCATTACACATTTATAAGCCTAACATTCATGCATGCATTGAATCTGTCACATCTGGTCTGGTACTTTTATGCATTTAGAGATTCTTGATAAAATCCAAAAAATCTGTATTGTCATTGGTTCTGACATCTCGGCTTCAATCACTTTCATGTTACTGTAACATCTAAACTTTGAGAAATTAAATGCATTATTAATTGGCAGCTAACTCTCATCATTTTACAATTTAAATTATTCTATGTAACTGTGAGTTCTATGCTAAAAGTTTCTTTCACACTCCTCAGTTGTGAAGTTCTCTTCTGGATTCTTGCTTCTTGGTCAACTTTGATCTTCAAAATTTTAAATCCATAATCAATCGTTATCTTCTCTTCTTAATTCCTGTTCTTTTATTGTTCTCTTTCATTTAATCTTTTTTCTTTTTTTCTGATATTCTTTCAATCTCTGTAACCTCTTGCTTCTTAGTGACTTTATTGCCTTGCTTAGGGTGAAATGATTAAAAAAAATAATCCTCCGTTTATTTTACCAGTTACTAAAAAAATGTCAAACAATTGTGGGGTTGTTCTATTTCTCTCTTATTAAAGAAGGAAAAAAACAAATTTTAAGTTTACAAATTTTCTCTGATTTTCTTTTCCTTGCATTTGTTGATGTTTAGCCATTATTTTGCCAATCAGTTAATTCTCATGATGGTTGCATAAAAGTGTATGAAGTGAAAGTTTGAGAATTATACAGTTTTCATAAATTTAGTTCTTGAAAGTCTAGATAAGTAGAGACTTACTGTTTTCATACAAATTAATCTATAAAGCAAGTATTTAAATCTTAAAATATTGAAAATGTTGATTTCTTTATAGATCTTTATAAATTTTGGGAAGCAGTTGTCATTAGCCCCCTTCAGTACTGTCTGGATAATTTTTCCTGTATTTGACACCATAAAAAGAATCTATGGCTGTTCCCTTTTTTTTTTCTTTTTTTTTTTTTTAAGCAAAAACGGTTTACATATTTAATTCTAATAAGTTTTATTTTAATATAAATTAGATTCTAAATCTGTCAAGGAAAAAGTGGGTTTGTGCTCTGGTTCATCTAAACATCAGGATTGTGAGCTATATACTGCAAATAAAGAAAATAGTTTATGATCTTTGGCTTTTTAGGGATGTTATGTCCCTTTTTGAAGACGTACACTATGGAATCTATAAACATTTTATAATTTGAATATAGATATTTTAAAGGAAAAATGTAAATCTTTATTTCATTATAAAGAATATAGAATTAATCTGAATTTCTGGTATATTGGGTTTCTCCTTGTAGCTGCAATTGACTGAAATAGTGTCACTCTAGAAATAGGCATTTCAAACAAAAAACAACTGCTTATGGTTGCCATTTGATAACTTCATGTTAATCTCAATAGACCTCAATTGAAGCAACTGGTGCTTGAGAAAAGAATTTTTTTTTCCTTCTCAATGCAAATATATAATCTCCAAGTTAATGTATAGCCATTTAATTATTGAGATGTTAATGTTGTAAATTGGTTTTGCCGATCAAAGAAGTTACACAGCACCATGATTTGGATTTCCTTAGTTAACATAATTCATTAAATCACTGAAGGAGAACATTGACCTGTCTATTAACCCTTATTTTCACCATGAGAACACACATAAGGGGATGTTAAAAATTTCTTGGTTTGAACCACTCCCAAAAATCTGAATAAATGACCAAATAATTTTTTTTTTTTTTTTTTAAGTATCTAATAAAAATAACCTTTATCCAAAAGCGCACAGAAGTAAACTTTCTCAAAGTATTGAACTAATGCTAAAATCTGTTGATAAAAGAAAAGCAGAAATACAGACCTGGACAATGAGAAACATTGCCAACTGGAAATCAGGAGGATAATTGGACATTGGCAATTAAAGAGAAAAGTGGGTGTGTTTGTTTTTATTGAATGCAAAGATTAAGCCTGCATTTAATAAACAGCTTGGTGTTTGTTAATAGTCATTGTTTAGTCACTCCAGTGAGTATTGAACTTGAAGTAAAATGGGATAAACTTTGTGATAATTAGGATTTTATTTGGGAGCTTACTGTGTGCCATTGTTTGTATATACTACTTGATTCTATACCAGGTGATATTGAAGTATTTCCTTTCATTGTTTGGGAATCCAGTGATAACCTAAATGTGGCTTGCTATTGACTTTATCAAGGACCTACCACCAGTAGAGTGATTCTATTGGTTGGGACGTTAGAAATGAAAGACAAAAGTAACATGTTTTCTGCTTGTCTACTGTTGCTTTTTCAAGTCTCCCTTACTTGTATTCTACTTATTTTGGAGTAGGACATGTACAAGAGTGACCTTTTCACTTCACGAACAAATCTGATGCCAGAATAATGAATCCTGGAATATAAGATAGTCTTTTATCATTTTCTGTTGATCTTTCTCTAAAATAAGGAAAATGTAACAATAGTTGAAGAAAGGAGGGTCGAAGAAGTTGGTTCAGAATGGGGATAATCAGATTATTTTAAATAATTCCTTTTTCTTAACTTTTGTGACTTCAGGAATTAACTCATAACATTTCATGTCTGTAGTGCTGGTGTTAGAAAACCCACATTCAAATGTTATCAAATCTTGGGCCAACTGATTTTTTTTTTTTTTTTTTTTTTACTTTGTATATAAAGCTGATATGGAGGGTGACCAGCATTTATTGTCATAAATAGAAACTTTACAGGGGTTATTTTCCTCTCCCATATATCATTTCAAATATAATACAAAAAAATAATGAAAGATTATTGAAAGTATTTTCTTTGTAAAAAAAGAAAAAAGGGAAGAATTGCTAACTGATTTCCAAGCATAATTGCACCAAACAACAAATGCACAAGATAGGACTTTTTAAAAAAAAAAAAAAATTTTGACAATGCACTTTCATAAAATCTTTACTTAGAGGAAGAAATTAATTGTAACCATAGTTTTAGAAAATAATATAATCTTCATTTTTTTTTATATATATATATATATATGACTGATTATCAGTGTATGCCTGTCTACTCGTGTGGCTAAAGCTTCCCTGTTGCAGACACCTGTCCAAGCACATTTGTTTGTTCAGCACTCACAGAGACTACCTGTTGTTCATACTGCAACTATGCTGAGTGAACCTTAGTGATAATTTCTGGAAGAGAGCACATTATCCGGTGTGAATAAGGCCAGTATGCTTAAACTTTTGGTTACTATGACTTGTGACTTCATGATAGCACAATCATCAGCAGCTTCCAAATAGTTTTGACTACACAATTTCTTTCACATGGCTTGGGTCAGCCTCTGGAATGATTTTCAGGTACTTACAAAGATGCTTCCTGCTGGGTCACCTCCTCGAGTCGATAACATAAAGAAGTTACCTTTGACCTTGGTGAAATTCAAAATGTTTGGAAAATGAACATTCTTTTAACAACAACTCTGCCACATATATTTAGTTAGCAAGGAAGAATATCATTTAGGAAATCTATTTCTGAAGTCAAAAACTGATTTGCACTTTGATAATTGTTTTTTTTTTTTTTCTCTCTGTCTTTTGAAATGTATTATCTCTCTGTTATTTATAGTTATACACTTCATTGCCTGGCATCATTGCGAAAAGTGTTGCAACTGGTTGTAAAAATGTAGATTTTTTTCCATTTGCCTTAAAATAGTTTTCTATATATTTAGTGTTTATTGCAGTTACTTTTTAAAATTCAGTTGTAATACAAATATTAAAAATAAAGTCTTGATTTTTCAACATTTTAATAAGTTTTCTCAAATCATATGCACAATATGAGACCTTTTTAGCCATGTTGTGATCTGATAGCAAAAGTTATAAAAACATTTAATTATACAAATTTATCATTAGATGTCTTTTACTACTAAGATCATGTTAATTAAAACTTATTGGATTCTGTTGTAGTTGTTTAATTATGTAAAAATATAGACTGATTTTTGTAAGTTTAAAAAAACCCCCAAAAAACTAAGGTTGTGGGCTGGGGGGTCACTGTCACACAATTGCTTACTCTACTTTATGGTATTACCTAATCAGTATGAATGTCTGTATGTGAAAATCACTTGTTTTTATGATTCTCTGTTCCAATTTTGATGATAGAAATATTGGAGCGGAGTTTAAAGGTTTAAGAATATATTAAGAATATATAGTTAAATTCTAATGGAAGATATAAAGAGCACCACATTTCTCAGTTTTCTTTGGATATCAAATTTTTCTTTTTGAGAAATTCCTTTTATTTTGAGCACAAATTATCTTGCTGTGATTAATATTTGTCTTGTATATATTTTTTTATTGTCTCAGTTTGTTATTGTTGTTGTTTCTTTTTCTCATTGGTGTGTTGGTGATGTTGCTGTTTTGTTTGCCTTAGATGTGTACGTAACTTAACAGGTGTTTGTAGTTTTGCATTTATCAATTCAGCTTAAGCACTTTAAGAATGTCACAGCATTTCAAATGCTATTTTCATTTTCCAGGTTTTGTATCATAACCTCTTTCTCTTTTCTCTCCCACTCCACTTCGTGTTTCCACTCTTTTCAGTCCCGGCCTAGACCCTGCTTCTCTCTTTTTTTTGGTTCACCCCCTGTTTACTTTTTTTTTTTTTTTTTTTTTTTGTCCACCCCCTTCTTCCCTCTTTGTTTGGTTCAACACCCATCTCATCCTCTTTTTTTTTCGGTCTGCCTCAGCCGTCTCTCCCCCCTCCTCTTTTTTTTTGGTCCGTCTACCCCACACCTCCTCTCTTTTTTTTGGTCCGTCTCCCCACACCTCCTCTCTTTTTTCCGGTCTGTCTCCGCCGTCTCCCCCACACTCCTCTCTTTTTTTTCGGTCCGCCTCTGCCGTCCCCCCCACCCTCTCTGTTTCCGGTCCGTCTCAACCCCCACACCTCCTCTTTGTTTCCTCTCCCCCACCCTCCTTTCTTTCCGTCTCCCCCACACCTCCTTTCTTTCCGTCTCCCCCCCACACCTCCTTTCTTTTTTCCGTTCCGTCTCCCCCCACCTCCTTTCTTTTTCCATTCCGTCTCCCCCACCTCCTCTCTTTTTCCGTTCCGTCTCCCCACACCTCCTCTCTTTTTCCGTTCCGCCTCCCCCCTCCCACTTCCTCTCTTTTCCGTTCCGCCTCCCCGTCTCCACTTCCTCTCTTTTTCCGTTCGTCTCCACTTCCTCTCTTTTTCCGTTCCGCCTCCACCGTCTCCCCGCTTCTCTTTTTTTTCCGTTCTCCACCGTCTCCACTTCCTCTCTTTTTCCGTTCCGCCTCCACCGTCTCCACTTCCTCTCTTTTTCCGTTCCGCCTCCACCGTCTCCACTTCCTCTCTTTTTCCGTTCCGCCTCCACCGTCTCCACTTCCTCTCTTTTTCCGTTCCGCCTCCACCGTCTCCACTTCCTCTCTTTTCCGTTCGCCTCCCCGTCTCCACTTCCTCTCTTTTTCCGTTCCGCCTCCATCTCCACTTCCTCTCTTTCCGTTCCGCCTCCACCGTCTCCACTTCCTCTCTCTTTTCCGTTCCGCCTCCACTTCCTTCTTTTTCTCCCACTTCCTCTCTTTTTTCCGTTCCGCCTCCACCGTCTCCACTTCCTCTCTTTTTCCGTTCCGCCTCCACCGTCTCCACTTCCTCTCTTTTTCCGTTCCGCCTCCACCGTCTCCACTTCCTCTCTTTTTCCGTTCCGCCTCCACCGTCTCCACTTCCTCTTTTTATTTTTATTTTTAGTCCACCTCCACCATCTCCCCCTCCTCTTTTTTTTTGTTCCTCTCCCGCCACCGTCTCCCCCCTCCTCTTTTTTTCTTTTTTTGTTCCTCTCCCGCCACCATCTCCCCCTCTTTCTTTTTTTGGTCCTCCCACCATCTCCTCTCTATTCTGTCTCCCCCTTCTAATATCAGCTGTGATGAAAATATAAATATTGTTTTTATTTGTGCTTTTTCTTTTTTATGAGCTGGTCATTTAAAGGTAAGTTTACTGATCCCACAAAAAAAAACAAAAAAACACATGTTCTAAGACAAAAATCTGTCTTCAGTTTTGCTTTTTATTCTAAGTTTTAATATTCATTCATATCGTTGTCATCTTTACAAGATAATGTGAAAAAATGACTAACCTTTTTTTTTTTATATATATATATATATATAAAATGTGTGTGTAAACAAAACTGTTTTACCAGCTCCTAGTTAATAATTTTGTTTTCTAATTAAACTGTCTCTAGCCTGTACTCCCTAAGTAACTTTAAGGCAGTACAGATCTAAGTGTAGAGAACCTCTTAGTTTTATGGTATGCATCTGAGTTATCTGGCTGCATCTACCACACACCACCTTGTATTTGAGTCGCCTTACTATGAAACCATCTCTGTTTTAAGAGCCCCAACCTCCTCCTCCTCCTCCTCCTCCTAGTAGGGTGGGTGACGTCAACAGAAAGGCAGCTTTGATGCAGGCACATGGCATGTCCCCTGGCCACATCAAGAAGACAATCCCAAATGTTTTGACGCCATCACAATCGTTGAGGAGTAATGCTAGCATCAAAGGTTAGTAGTCACTTCTTCGTTTCTTCTACAGAAGATTTCTCCAACTGTTGTCATCGTCGTTGAGCCTAAACTTCACATAAACTCCGTTATTTACAAGTGGTCCAACCATTGTTGCCCATCAACACTGAAAATTATCACTAACTATAAGAAAAAAAAATTGTACCTTTGACAATTGTCCATCAATTCTGACCAAGTGTTAATGCTTATGTCTCCACTGTTATTTTGTGATATTCATTTTTAATGTTTTGCTGAACAAAGTAAATTGTTGCTGATAAATAGGTTCCCCCACCCTACACTAAAATAAAAATTAAAAAAAATTGATTTCCAACATTCTTATTAATGTCAATGGTGTCTGTTAATCAAAATTTTTCCTCTTATTAATTTTCTCTGGAATATTATCTTTTGTTTTATTTTGAATTTTCAAGCACATTTTTTCCTCTTTTTTTTTTTTTTTCCCCCTCTTTCTCTTTTTTCATGTTCAACTTGCTGAATAAGATATTTTAGAAGGAATACTTACATGATTTGTAATGTTCGTTTTTAAAATCAACTGCTTTTTTTTTTTTTTCCCTTACTAGCATCAGCTAAATTGAGTTTTTACTGCTGTCTCATCTCTGTGTCTACTTTTTGAATATTAAAATCAAATAAATTAAGTAATGATGAAAGTATAAAGAGACTAGATTAAACTACTTATGTTATTTTGCACACTTGTATTTATTTTTTTTAAACTTCTTTTTCTGATAGGAGGAAGACTTTTGCTCAATGACTGTTTTTGTTGTTTATTTACTTTTTATTCCTGCTGATACCTGCTCAGAATAAGCTTCCTAAACCTTTTCTTTTTTCTTTTCCTCCTGAAAGTTTGTCTATGACATGTTATCGGTTATAATTTTAGGTGGACAACGGCAACAATCTGTCAGCCTGAAATCCACCACGCAAGTGCCAGTCATCATCAGTTCCCAGACCCAACCCCAGAAGGTAATTTTCTATAAAACTAACAATCTCAACTGTTAAATAATAGCAATGTTACCATTTTTGTGAATATTTGAATTAAAGTATAAAAAAATGATCTTATTGCAAAACTATAAGATAGTTTTTAGAGTAATCTGAAAAGTGCTCTCTTCCTTATAATTTTGCAGACTATTTTCATCTTTGTAACATATTTCATTATATTCTTAGGCCTGCTATGTTTCTTTTTCTTGGACACTAAGAAAAGGTTTTTTTTTTTTTTTTTTTTTTTAACCTAAGCCATTGGGTAGAATTCATGCATGCTATAATCTAACGACTGGAAAGTTTCTGAAGCTACCAATAATAAAGTAATATCTCTAGACTACTTTTTAAAATTGTTAAAAAAAAAAAAAAATTGAAGATCTGTAGTAAATATCAGGGTAGCCTTTTATAATAAAATGGTATTATGTAACTCTTTAGAGGAGGGAAAAAAGTGTCCTTCACAAGAGAAAAATATGACCAAAAGCTTGTCGTAAAGAATAATAGGTAGAAAGTAGATACCCTCAGGAATATTGAGAAAAGCTAGAAAACTATCAGTTATGGTGTAACAATTCTATCAAGTCCATTTAAAGATGAACAGCAATGTCACTTTGAAATAATAGAATTGTGAATCTAATATTTCCTATAACAGTAATTGATCCTGTAAGATTCCAGTCTTGATTGATTGATATTACTCATGTAAAGCATTAATGGTCAGCCTCCTAGGGTTCTGTTAGGCCCACATAAAGTGTTAATGGTCAGCCTCCTAGGGTTCTGTTAGGCCCACATAAAGTGTTAATGGTCAGCCTCCTAGGGTTCTGTTAGGCCCACATAAAGTGTTAATGGTCAGCCTCCTAGGGTTCTGTTAGGCCCACATAAAGTGTTAATGGTCAGCCTCCTTAGGGTTCTGTTAGGCCCAGGGTTCTGTTAGGCCCAAAAGTGTTAATGGTCAGCCTCCTAGGGTTCTGTTAGGCCCACATAAAGTGTTAATGGTCAGCCTCCTAGGGTTCTGTTAGGCCCACATAAAGTGTTAATGGTCAGCCTCCTAGGGTTCTGTTAGGCCCACATAAAGTGTTAATGGTCAGCCTCCTAGGGTTCTGTTAGGCCCACATAAAGTGTTAATGGTCAGCCTCCTAGGGTTCTGTTAGGCCCACATAAAGTGTTAATGGTCAGCCTCCTAGGGTTCTGTTTGACTAAAATATTCTAGTTGAGAAAAAAATAGTATCAGTTGCATCCTAAAAACTGGATACATGCTGTACTTTGGTAAAATGTGTTAAAAATAGATATTTCTTTTAAAAAGAAAATATGTAGTAAAATAAAAATGCTCTACCTAAATTTCAGAAATCTCCTGTTTGTCTCTTTTCAAACATGCAAAAGTGTACACTGAAATAAGACATTTGTGAAAATGTTTATAGCATAACTTCCTTTTTTAAATAGCTGGTCAGAAAATATCTATCTGTAACAAGTCTAAAACATATATGCAAATACACAAAATTAAAGGCAAACTTTGCCCTTTTACTCCTGTCAATTTAATCTCTTTTGTAGAGCATAGTGTTCCTGCAAATGATTGTTCTTTCTATTAAAACAAAAATTATTGTAGCTGAAACCAGTATTCTAAAGTATAATACAGAAAACATTTGATTCTCACTGAAATTGTTCAAATGTGACTACTATTTTTTTTTTTTTTTTTTTTTTGCATAATGTAACAAAGGTCACGTATACCTTTTTGGATGGCTAAACATTCAATTTTATTTTTTTTTTATTTTATTTATTTATTTTTCCCATACTTTTCTACCCACCAGAGTTCATCCCTGGGTATCACAAGTATTGGCAGCAGTAACAGCACTTCCATGTCTGTATCTACCAGTACATCAATGGTGGCTAGTAGTAGTAGTAGCAGCAGCAGCAGCAGCAGTAGCAACAACAACAACAACAGCAACAATAATAACAACAACAACAGTTCTAATACAGGCAATCAACAAATCATCATCCAGCCTCCTCCTCCAAAGCAAGTCAAAAACAAATCTCTGCTCTGCAAACCATTTGTACAGACCAAAGCCACATCATGCCGTCCTCATACACAAAGCAAAGAAGTACAAACAGGTAAGGAAAAGTTTGAAAATGCCATGCCGTATTCTTGATCTGAACACCACAACTGCATTAAAAATAAATTCATTATATATATATATATATATATATATATATATATATATATATATATATTTATATATATATATAAAATTTTTTTGCTGTCAGAACACATTTTTGGAAATTTTTATTTTATAAAACAACCTTTAGTTAATGAAAATCTACTCGTCATAAAATAAAACTATTTAATTATAAAAGCTTTTAATTGCTTTTACAAACAGGATATATTATAGACACTTGTCTTAAAAAAAAAAAAAATTCAATAAGGAATTTTTACCAGAATTTTTTTTCATATTTTTTTTTCATATTTTTTTAAAATTTTAATTATAATAATGTATAGTTTTAAATCTTTTAAAATCTTAATTTGCAGAGGTTAGATGATATTAAGTAAAAAAAAAAAAAAAAATTATTTACTTTAAATAGGGTTGAGAAAAAAATAGTATCATTTAGCAACCATCAATATTTTAAAAAAGAATTTTGACTTTTTTTTTTATGTGTGTATATGTAATAAACATGCAAATTTTTATAAATACAGACATGTATATTCCTCAATTTTCACGGATATATCCACTATAGAAAAAATTAGATAAATTTCCGTCTGTCACTCAAGCTGTCAATACCTTAAATAAACAGCTACTGTCATATTAAAAAATGCATTTCTGTGATATTTTAAACTTAAAGTAATATTTGTTTCAAATCAGATTAATTAAGCTTTAAATCTGCTAATATTTCTCAAATAAAGTTTTGGAAAATTATATTTTATTTTTAAAAGATTTTTTAATAAATAGAATTACATTATGATGTATGACTAAAAATGGTGCTATTTCAAAAGGAAACATCCTTCCAGTCAATTTAAATTAGTTTTGAAATACAGAAAAACTATTTTGCTTATTAGAAATATTAAATTTAATCTATTAGCTTGAAAGTAAAACTAAAATAAGGCATTTGTTTTTGTGGAGGTGTATATCTCTCTCTCCCCACACGCACACACACACGTATGAATGTATAGAGTATCTGGAAAAAGACAATTAGTCATTTGCCTTATCAGATCGACTCTGAATTCAGAGAATAATTTTAAAAAGCTTCATAAAGGAAATAACTTTTTCTTTCAATGTCTTGTATTTTCACTTCTCTGGTCCTTGTTTTTTAATTTTTCATATTTGGTGATTATTTCAGATGGAGAAGCTGAAGCCAAAACTCTTTTTGTTCCTGTACCAGTACCTATTTACGTCCCATTGCCAATGCCCATGTACAATACATTGACACCCTTTCCATTTGCTGTACCTCTCCCAGTACCTATCCCATGTTTTATACCAACCACAAAGAAATCATCTGCCAGTATTCTGAAACACATTAAAGTAAGTTTGGTTTTAGCTTCTCTGGAACTAAATATTTCAATTCTTGTTTTTAATCAGTAAGTGGGTACATTGAAAGTCTTGTAAAATCTTTTCACTGATGAGGCAGATTAATACACTTTGATGTAATTTATTCAGTTGGACAATAAAATGGATATTTGGTTCACTCAAAATTGATCAAATGAATAAAAATTTGTTTCAATTTCTTTTTTCTTTAATCTACAATTTTATTATTTAATTCTGATATTGATTTGACAAGGTATATTTTCAAAAATTTTTTTTTTTTTTTTGTGCATAATTTATTTGTAAAAATGTCTGCTCAGTTTTAAAAATGGTAATTATTTGTGGTAAATTTCTTCTGTAAAGACTGTTTTTCTGATGTTTTAGATAATCACTGTCTTATTATCTGCAGGAGATACAAGAAAAAATCCCAGCTGACCCATTTGAAGCCGAGTTGTTGATGATGGCTGAAGCTGTAGCTAATGCTGAGCAAAGCTCGAGTGAAGAAGAGGAGGAGATTGACCAGCCTGGGAATGACATCGATGGTGATGATAGTAAGTTAAAACAAACTTAATCAAATATTATTGCACGTACAGAAAATTACATCATTTGCATATGCCATTCACAAGGGATTTGTAATTAGTACAACAGGGTTTGTACAGGTCCTGGAAAATTGGATGGGCCTTTTCCAGGGCTTGAAAAGTCCTGGAAAAACAGCTATATCCCAAAAGCTCATTGAAAAGTCCTGGAATTTTCTAAATTGGGTTGCCCCCACATCACTTTCCTCAATTCATAAAAATCAAAATGCCAAAATTTTTTTTTTTTGCTTTTACAAGCTAAAATTGTCCTTTTTTAAGAAAATTGTTTATATATATATATATATATATATATATATAATATATATATATATATAATAATAGTTGGAAATTATTCTGAATGGTAGTTTTTGTTTCCTTGATTAGAACAAGTTCATGACCTCATAGTTACATCTGTATTTTCTCGTCTCTTTGACAAGAAAAGAAAGAGTGGAGATGTGTCTTCTAGCTGCTACCCTCATTCGATAAGAAAAGAGAAAAAGCAAAGATAAAAAGGTGTCAGAGACAAGTAAACATCTTCATGAAAGATAAATTAATTCACTATTATTGAATTTGTAACTAAAAGGAAAATAATTATTTTACTGTAATTAAATACATTTTAATAGAATCTCTAAAAAAAATTATCACTTTTTTAAAATTTGATCAAATGAAATTTTATTCGCATGTCAATTTCAAAAATTAAGTCCTTTTGATCTCTAGTCAGTGGTGGGTGAGTTTGTGCTGAAAAAATAGATACTTTACATGTCCTGTATCAATGTGTATGTGTGTAAACTATTATATGTAAATTGTTAGCAAAAGCAACAATCTTGAGAATCAAATTTGACTCAAAGGAAATGTAAATGGAAAGGATGATAAAATAGAAAATGTGATTTTGATGTCTTCAGATAAGATAGAAAATGTGTCTTCAGATAAGATAGAAAATGTGTCTTCAGATAAGATAGAAAATGTGTCTTCAGATAAGATAGAAAATGTGTCTTCAGATAAGATAGAAAATGTGTCTTCAGATAAGATAGAAAATGTGTCTTCAGATAAGATAGAAAATGTGTCTTCAGATAAGATAGAAAATGTGTCTTCAGATAAGATAGAAAATGTGTCTTCAGATAAGATAGAAAATGTGTCTTCAGATAAGATAGAAAATGAAAATAGAAAATGTGTCTTCAGATAAGATAGAAAATGTGTCTTCAGATAAGATAGAAAATGTGTCTTCAGATAAGAAAAAATGTTAGATTTAGAAAATGTGTCTTCAATAAGATTGAAAATGTTATTTTTAAAGTTTGCTGTATTTCTAGACTTTTTCTAGTTTTGTTGTAAGAAAAAAATGAAATATTAACATTTATTTGGCTTTTATTGCTTGACTTTTTATTAAAAGTTCAATATGGCAACCAAGTCCCTTTACTTTTGTATTTCTGCCATAGATGGCTAGAAACTGTACAAGCATGTGAACAACTCTTAGACATTTGGTTAGATGTCATAAAATTTGAACTTAATTGAAAAAACAAAAACATTCCCAGAGTTCTCTGGTGCTGTCAAACGTAAATGGTGTTTTATTTCCAGTGAATTGCAGATATTTGTGTCCGTTTCGAAAGACATTGAACTGTTTCTGATAAAATATCGGCAATAAACCATTGCTTCCTTCCTTGCAGATGATCTTTTAGCATGATCATGAAAATTTTTGAAGGCAAAATACACTAAAAAGATAATTACATTTTCCAAGCTGAATGGATTTGTAAGAATTTTGTCAAACCCAAACATGCATAAAGATGCTGCGAAGTGAGTGTAGAAAATTTATCCCAAAAAGGAAATGTGTCAACAAAAAAAATTTGTTTGTATGCAGAATTGCAACAATGTTCATTATCATCCTTGAGAAATTTCTGGCAAAGAAAATGTTGGTAAATATAAGTATATCGCACTATTTGTTTTAAGGTACTCGTTCATTTAAGAATTGTGATGACTTCATTTTTACATTATAGACTGAATCATTTTCTACATTTAAGCATACATGCATTCCTCTGCAATTGTAAATATAATCTTTATAAAACTTAAATTATTAAGCCAACAACTTTCATTATTTACTTTTTTTTTTTTTTTTTTTTTTTTTAACACCATTTATACTGAAGCTTTTATTCTAATGACAATCTAACATATGACTTGCCAATAGGTGCATCATATTGTGTAGGACCCTCTTCTAGCTTGGTAAAAGTGCAGCACCTCAACATGGCATTGATTTCACAAGTGGTCAGAAGAAATGAGATATTATTATGCCATACCATTTCAATAGCTATCGAAAGCTACCTGGTATTTGTACATACATGATCTTGTATGCAAATAGGTTTTTCACTGCATCCTGTAAATGCTCAATTGTGCTTGTGTCTGGCAAATGTGGTGGCCACACTGATTGTCAGAAGTTTCTAAAATGTTTCTCAAGCTAATTCTGGGCAGCTTGCTTTAAATGATCTAGTACATTATCCTGCTGGATTCCATGAATGGATGCACTGACCTATTTAGGTGGACCAGTGAACCTACCACACCATTATGATCTTGTGGGGCTCTGTGTCACATTCATATTCTACCAGTACCATAACTCCTCAAACCATTCCATAGGTTGACAGTTCTTCAGGATCAGTTAGTGACATCACAAGCCCAAGGTGTTGTGTTAACAGGGGCACTCAGGTGGGTTCTTTCTCCTCATATCTTATTGAAGGTATTGAACTGGCCAGCTGGTATATTCTGCATTAGATTTGATTTGAGCCAATATTACTCACCTATTACTGTAAACAATTCTTATTAGATCATTACAGATATGTGGTTAGCCACTACACTGTGGACTTCCATCAGGTATTCTATATGACATTAGAATTGAAAGCTGTTAAATCCCCCAGAATTTCATTAAATATTCACATTTGTCTGACATTCACTATAATGCCTTGTTTTGAACTCCCAGAATTTCTCATTTTGCCATGAACAGCCTATCCAAGATTCAGACTGACTCAACTGATATAGATATGGGAAATTCCATGACAAGGCGGCACCACCAATTGTTACCATTACATACTATCTACCCCTGACTTGATATTTTGTCTGAGCTTAGCTTTGTGAAGTATTTCATGATGAAAATTCATTTTCTATATATAATTGACCATTGTTTATAAAATATATTTGATAATATTTAAGATTTCTTTTTAATTTTAGAATAGGCAAACATGAGATCACTTAGATTATTTTTCTTGTTTATATGGGATATTATTGAAAAGTTTAAGGTGGAGAGGAAACCTTTACAAGATTGGTCAAATGTGATATAACCTTTAAATTTTGTTGCTCTGCATTGTTCTCTGAGTAACTTATTCAAAGTTAAGATACTAGTTGTATTTCCATTAACACTTAAAAACGTATGTTGCCTGTTTGCTTTGTGTTTAATAAACATTTGGATTTGGGCTATTTTTGAACTGGCTTAAAATTGTTCTGAGTTAATTATTATAAATATCACATGTCCCTGAAGAAGTCAGTGTTATTAATAGAAACATTTTGCTTTATCAACAGTAATTGGTAAATCTAAAAGGTATTTGACTATAATGAAACTTCAAAAATGATTTTAAATGTCCTAATTCTGATTTGATAACTTTTGATTTACTGATATTAAAGTAACAGATTTTACATTATCTGTGTATATCTCTGAGATGAGGTATTATGATTATTTACATTATTCAGACTGTTATCCTTATTGCCATATTCACAATGCTTTGTTCTTCAGGTGATTGGAATTTTGAACCAAACTTTTATTTTCGGTGGATTGTTCTAGTTCCACTTCTGGATGTCTCGTTTACTTCCCTTTTTAACTTGACTCTCCAAGATTTTTTTTGGTTCACGACTACTGTGGCCTGGTATTGACGTCACAACTCTGGGTCTAGTCACTGGATCCAACCAACGTGTATGCAATTCTGGGGCTTATAAACTTAATGACTCGGCAACGATTTTTTACCAATGCTCATACTGCAATTTTTTGTTATGTCTTTTGAATGATCTACTCTGGTGGAGGAAATAAAGGGTTTGGTTCGAAATTCCAATCACTTGAAGAAACATTGTGGCTATAGCAATGAAGATGAGGATAACAGTCTAAATAATGTAAACATCTGACATTATTGTAAATATGATGTACATATAAATTTTATTTTCATTGATACTAATACTAGCATTAATTTCTAACCAACAACTATCCTTTTTTCTTCATATTCACTATACAGGAGTATCAATATAAAATTACTTTTTCTTTCTCTCTTTCCACCATTAGTTTTTGATTTCTCGGCAGAATTCATTATGAAGTGTAAGCTAGTTTTAATCAAGCAAAGGAAATTTTCTCAATATTTGTAGTTCAGCTATTAATTCTCCAAAGCTTTGCTGATCAGCCAATGTCATGCTTAGAGAATGTTACTGTACTTTGGCCAAGTCCAGGAGGATATTTTTCAACACTATCTTTCATGATGACTCCAAGATTGTCAGATGACCCAGTCTTGTTTTTTTTTTTTTTTTTTTTTTTTTTCCTAACCATCAAATGCCACAAAAAGAGGTAAACATTTACATGTGTGGATAATTCATGTTTAAACACATAAGAAAGATCTGAAGAAATTACATTTTATTTTGAGATTCTCTTTACAGATTTTGTGCAGCAACTTGAAACTAATTTTTAGATCAACAAAACATAAAAAAAAAAAAAAAAAAAAAAACCAAAAATAAACAATAATAATGTCTAATCCTCCAATTCCCCCTCCCTATTTAGTTTAATCTAAAGTTACAATGAACAGTGGTAAGCCAAAATTTTGTCTATAAATGTCACCAATGCTAAAGTTCAACTGCAATTATGTTTTTTTTTTTTCTATGTAAATAAAAGTCTTAACTTAAATAAATCTTACCTATGATAATGAATTCCAAAATGAATTGCTAATTCATAATACCAAAGATATTTCTGTTTCTGAAACGGTCATGAATGCACAATACTAATCAGACGTTTCTTTAAAAAAAAAAAATAAAAAAATTGTCCACTGTAAAGATTATTCTACTTTGTAACAAATACAGTTTCTGAATAGGTACTAAATAGTTTATTTAAAAAAACAAAAAAAAACATATGCAGTGAATGTGTGTGATATATACACACAGGTCTTTTTGATGGTATTTACTTCAAATTAGAATATTAGTTTAAATGTTTAAACTAGAAAAATTTTTTTTAAAAGCTTCACTTTTTGTTTTGTGTCCTTTTTATATGCCTCCTGGAAGGCATTTAATAGTTATAGTGGATGTTAACTTTGTTGTTTAAGCTGCATTTTTTATACCAATCAATTATCGGGAAACTTTTGAATTTTTTTTTAGAAATTTATCATTAAATTACATTTGTGCTTTATTTGATTTTTCTTATATCAAATATTCCATCATTATTCAGATTTGCAGTAATTGTGCACAGAATAATGACAAATGAGCATCTGATTTATTCATTATAACCGATTATTTTTCAAACTAATCTTGCAGATGAAACCAGTTATCTCCCTTCTATTAAACAAGTTTTTTTTTTTAATCAAATTGATATTATTAGATATATATATAATTTTAAAAACGGCAATAGAATAAGAATTCACAGTGAAAATCCTTGACTAAAGGAAAGGTTTTCAATTTGAATCAATTGACTGAACTATTAAGACTGAAAAGAAATCATATTGTGTAACTTTTATTATTGTTGCAAATTTCTATAACTCATATTTAGTATGTTTTGTAAAATTATTCATTCTTTTATAGAAAAAGTAGGGTTGATTTGTATTCTTGCCGATTTCTTTTTATGACACTGACTAGTGTGGAATTTACAATTACTAGTCAGTTGTAATAAAATTAACCTTTATAAGCATCATGTGAAAAGCTTGATAGATATCTTGGAGTTTTTGAGTAAGTTCAACTAGCTTTAGTTGAAAAGGTAAAAGATAACTTTTTAATTACAAAATAAGTTTTTATTTTATTTTTACTTTTTTGGCAAAAACCCAGACTTGAAATATGAGAATTTGAATAAATGCAAGGATCTAGCTAACAGAACCTTTTCCTGCTCCTCAAACCTCAATAAAATGCTTGTCAAAATAGCATTAGGTATTTGAGGAACAAGATAGCAACAGACTCTGTTGGTGTGGTATTTGGTAATTCCTTGATCCTATCAAAATACAAAGTGTTTGGGTAAAGGACTGTGGAGAATAGGGTAATTGTTGGAAATTTTTTGACTTTTTTTTTTTTTTTTTTTTAAAGGCCCAACACGTCTGTTACCAATACCACTTTTCTTTTGACTTTGCAGCTTCTTTTTTTTCTTGTGTAAAGTATCCTCAGAAAACCATAGTATAAGATAGAGCTGGGGGAGGATGAATTTTGCATAACCTGACAGAACTTTAAATGAAACCTGTTTTTATTTATATATATATATATATATATATATATATATATATATATAATCTCTATCTATATCAGAACAATGTTAGTCAAATGAATGACAAAATGGAAAAGATTCTGTGTAACTCATTTTGCCTTCTCGAAGGACTTCATCAAACTAAGTATTGTTTTTGCTGATGAAATTGTCGTGGGAGAGATATAAAGATGCTAATGTCTGTTATGATTATGTACAGTGGGAATGCTGAAATTCTAGATTGAAATTTTTTTTCCTTGGATGTCTTTGAGCATGCAGTCTGTCTATAATCTAATTTACTTATGCTTTTGTTTTTATCACTTGTGTTAAGTCTCTCACATGGTGATAATAGAACTGCTAAATGAGTCTCACGCTAATTTCAATTTAAAAAAATGCTACTTTAATTAAAAGAAAAAGAAATTTGCTAAGGTGAAAATGTGTAGAAAGTGCTTTAATTGCTAGATCAGAGTAAATTTACATCCAGGTTTTTAAAAACTTCACTTTTCTTGGTAGATCTTCTGTTGTCGCAACATGAGAGATTTAATAAAAAAACAAAACCATAGGGAAACTGAATGAGAGCGGTTAGACTGCATGTTTGGACACATCTGAGGGGTTGGTTACTTTAAAATTTCAGTGTTCCTCTGCCGTGCATAGTTATAAGTAATGCTCATGTTTTATTTATATCTCCCCCCCCTCCTATGCATATAATTCCATTAACAAAACCATTACTTTAGTCCTTCTAGAGGACAAAATGCATTACACAGAATTTTTTTTCCACTTTGTCATTCATTCATTTATCATACACACAGTATTTTCCCATCATCTTGAGACTAACAGTTTCACTTGATGATCAAATGTACTCCCCCTCTATTGTTGTTTCAACTAATTCCACCAAATTATGACTTCAGAACTAGAAATACACAATATAAGTGAAGATGATTGTCAGGGGTTTCAGGCCAATGATTTGAGGGGTTGGCTTGTCATTATGTAAACTCTTTTTCTTGAAAACTTGAACAGCCTTCTGAATTTTTTTTTTCTTTGAATTAAATGATTTTCCTAATGTTTGTATCTAATTTATGTGAGATTAACGTAAAGTCCTTTGTGTATTGCAGAACTGACCAATACCAGCCAAGTGTCTGCTGCTGCAGCTGCTGCTGCCGCCGCCGCTGCTGCTGCTGCTGTTGCTGCCTCTACTCCTCAGTGTGAAAACTCTACTGCCCCAAATACAGTGACCAACTGTAACAAGGACTTTGATGATGAGGTCCTCCAAATGTCATTGAATATCACTGCTGCTGAAATCTCGGAACCCTCTCTAGATCTGGAATCTTTCCTTGAATTTACACCTCCACTTGGCTCATGTGAGGGAACTTTCTTCTTTCTTTTTCCCACCCCCTTCCCCACTCATTGCTCACCAAAATGTTTTTTTGTTTTAATTTGATTCAATTTACTGCTTACACCAGTGGCAGCTTTGATTTTTATGTCCCTATCCTTCTATATGCATAATTTGCAATATTCACTTGGATTTTGTGCTTCATTCTAAAACTAGAGAAAAAAAACATATCTTTTCTTCACAATATCTATGATACAAGTATACCAAAAGATTTAATATTTGTTTCTGAAGCTTTGCCACCTAATCAAAACAAGGAAATTCGGTGATAGACCAGTGATCTACAATTTCAAAAATCAGTTTTTTTGTTTGTTTGTTTTTTTTTTCTCCATGTCATAGCATCATTCATATTATCTTTACAAATTTTAATTCTGTATATAAACAAGTTATACATGAGGTTTATGCTATCTAAAATTTAGGACTTTTTTTTTTTTTCTCTCCTCCTCTTGAGTTGATATAGACTGGTGGCTATATTTTAAACATATTCTGACAACTTCTTTTAAAAGACATTTAGATTTGAATTTAAACAAAGGAAGTTAAATGTCCCTAAGTTAGAGATTAACAACCTTTTGTGTCTGTTGCTTATTCCAACACTGGGATTTCAAAGGTCCATTTTCCTTAGTTTGTACTATTGAAAAAGTTTGTAGTAGTAATAATTTCCAAATTATTGGTTTGTACCTGGATAATGACACACTTCTCTTTTTATAATATTTGCAAAGAAGAAATTAAAAAATATTAAAAGTACAAATACATTTAAGAAAGCCTTCTGAATTGCAGTCGTAACTCTTAAGAAAAATGAGCAATAGATTTGACAAAAATCATCTTTACAAAAATGTCAATGAAACTTGATCTACAAACTGATTTCTTACTAAGAATACATATTCTATTCATATAAACCTATCCTAAAAATCTTGTTGGCATTAAATGACCTATTGAGGTTGACATGCCATAAAATAAACAAAAACCCCAAGAAAAAAAACTATTGTTAATAAAGCTTTCTTTAATTATTACTACCTATCATGTTGCTTGTTTATATTATGATTTTAAAATTAATTTTTTTCTTTTCTGTTTATGAAGCATTAAAAGTCCATTATTAGTTTTTAAAAAAAATGGATCCTATGATGTTTTGCAATGAGTTATTAGTCAAATATTCTTTATTATACATCATTCCATTTGGTCATCAATATACTTGTGATGAGATGACTTTATGTAAAGAGTTTATAAAAATAAATTTGTAGTAGTTACAGTAAAATTATTTGAGATTTACTGCTAGTAAATTTAATATTAGGTATTATTTCCTTTATTGATTCCTCTTTCATTCTTATAATTAAACATTTAATAATTTAGTATTTTACAAAATAAAAAAATTGGTGGTGGAAGTATAAAAGTTCAGTTTGTGACATGAATTATTGTTGATTTTTACTAGGCAACCAAACAATTGGTAAAGCATATTTTAAATTTATCTTAATTACTAGGTTAAAAACTGCCCTATTGGGCAGCATTTAAACTAGCTCTTGCAGAGGGCTTTTGATTGAGCCTTCATAATAGTTCGAAGTGTTCGTTTGTGATAAGTATCTAAATATCTGTTGTCAAATTAAAAAGCTTTTTAAAGACGTTTTTCTTGTATAGACTTCCTTCTGCAGCTGATCTCAAACAATGCAATAATCATATTAAATAAATCTTTGGTTAATGCACTTTTTTCTTTTTCTTTTAGCTAATTCAACTTCTGATCTAAAGAATCGAACTGACCTCAAGTCCAAACAAGTAGGACGTGGTGGTAATAAGCGTGCTGCAGTAACCAGTGCACGAGGCGGTCGACGTAATAAGCGCATACGTGTTGTAGAAGATGAGTCCCCACTGCTGGAAGGAGAAGGTGATAATGCTGATGGACAGCATGTATCTCCCGACTCTAATATGCATCTTAAATATACATATGGTGTCTATGCATGGCGACAGTGGGTTGTACAGAAAAATGCTCAACTTGAGAAAGTTTCCAAATCGGGGCCTGGCCGATTAAAACTCTTCAAGACGGATCTTCTCCAGTGTACTCCTGATGAATTGAATTACTCGCTTTGCCTTTTTGTTAAAGAGGTGCGGAAGCCAAACAAAGAAGAATACTCACCAGATAGTATACATTATCTGTGTCTGGGTAAGTATATCTGTAGGGGAGGGGGAACCAGTGGCACCAGTTGCCCCACAAGTGTCATGAATTGGTACTCATCTTGTATCCGACTCAACACCAAGTGTCCTGGTTGTCTCTGCTCATAGAATTTTTCCAGTTCTCATTTCATTTGTCTCCCCACTTACTGTAGCTGCTCACCCAAACTTGGCTCTTGATAATCAATAAAAGAAGTGTCATATAGTTTGTGTTTAATTGAAAGCAACAAGAAATTACCTTTGGGTTTTGTGGTACTTTTATTTCAGCTTAATAGATAAAAGGAGCTGGAAAGAGAATTATTGTGCAGAAAATTGTTGTAAGAAAATCTTTTCTTTTTTCCCCTTGAAGCAATGAGGTGTGATCTCTGTGACAGTGTGAACACTTCTAACATTGTAACTGCCTTGTTTAAATAGCTTTTTCTTACCAATCTGACTTTGATGGATTTTGATTATCTGACAATCCATCACAGTTACTAAAAAATTTATATCTGCTGATTCATAGGTTTGGCTAATTTTTGAGTTCTCAAAACCCAATGGCCCTGTCGTATTATCATATTGATCAGTTTTAGGGTCTTACAAGTTTCATAAGAAACATAAGTACCCAAAAGTTTTGAAGTATTACTTTTTCCTCAGATTCACATATCCTGTCAGTATATCCATGAAATAATTATGTTCACAATTTCCAATTTTACAAAATTCTGATCCAGGCTCAGTTTCTTTAAAACCATAGTGTTCTTTACTTAAGGTCATGACATTGTGCAACTGAAGGCAAGCACTGGAGATCCATAAGGTTGGATCATTTTACAGTTGAAATGACTAAATGTAACTAAATTCTATTTTAACAGTTTCTCTTGAAATTCTCACTTGGGGAACTTTCTTCTGGCTTCTTGCTTTCAGTCAACTTTGATCTTTAAAAATTTAAATCCACGGTCAATTTTTATCTTTTGTTTGTTCTCTCTCCCTAATAGCATTTTTCTCTGTGGCTTTAAAAAAAAATCTTGTTCCTTTTAGAGTGAAGATTTTTAGTTTTGGTTTGGGTTAGCAGTAGTTTACTGCTGTAGTTGGCTTAAGAAATTCAAAGAAAAATGTAGAGATTAATAACATTTATTTTGCTTTAAAAATCCTTCATGTTTGTATATTTTTTTCTTTTCTAATTTGGATCTTCAGATCTATCACCTCTTGCCTCATTAACAAACCTGTACAAAATGTTATATACATTTTAATATTTGAATTATCCATGTTAAAACAGTTTTAATGAAAAAAAAAATTATTGGGGCTATGAATTCTGAAAAATGAGCTGAAACAAAATAAACATGAAAGTAACTTTCATTGTTTAGAGATAAATTAACTATTGTTATATTGACTTATTTTATCATAAATGTACTTTGATTAGAGAAGTAAAAAAAAAATAAGTTTTAAAAATGCTTTAGCAGCTGAGTTAGGATTAATATTTTGTTAGAAATGGAAATACAGATTATACACACACACACACACACACACACACACACACACACACACACAAAAAAGAAGTTTTATCATTAACATGTTTATTTTATGAGAATGATATTAAATTAACTTTAAGGAGGAAAATGTTAAATTCCATATCACAAGACCAAGTTTCTGAAATTATATATTTTTTTTTTTCTTTTAGTGAATTTTGCACCAAAAAAAGTTTTGTTTATGCAATGAAAACATTAAAAAAATATATAGCAACTCTGAAGAAAATAAATAAATTTGTATGAGATTTTTTTTCTTTAACTTTCTATAATTATTTTATATTCTTTGGCATTAAAATTACACATTTTCTCCATGTTTAGAGATTATTTAATCTGGTCCATGTAAGGTACATATTTAACAAATAACTGTATTTCAGGCATCCAACAATATCTATTTGAAAATGGAAGAATTGACAACATTTTCACAGACATGTACTATGAGAAATTTACAGAATGTCTAAATGAAATTTTGATGCGTTATGAACCCAGAGTCAATGGACTTGGTAAGTGATAAATTAATTTCACTCTCTCTCTCTCTCTCACTTGCGCATTTTACAATGTTCATTTTGTATTAACATTTTTTTGTGGGTATATTGCATTAATATATAATTTTTATGCTAACAGAACTTGCACATAAGTTTTGCATCTCTTTAATATTTGCATATGAAAACTTGATTTGATTTCAGTATAACTTTTGCTGATACCAAATAATGCATTTCCTATTTCCTCATTATTCTCATTTGCATGAAATATTAACACTGCAAATAAATGCTGAATAGTTCTGTTGATCTAGTTCAGCTTAATATTCAAGTCTGAATAAAGAATATTTTTCTGAGAACAGTCAGGAGAAGGTTACTGATTGATCAAAATGATCTAAACTCTTTCAAATAACTGCACACACCCATGAGTTGACATAAAAAATATCCGATTTAAATTTGCGCATGTCAAACACTCTTGCAGTGTGTTGGGAATCTTTATCAGTGATGTTTTTAAGACTGGAAAAAGTATTTTGATTTTACAGAAATAGATATAAAAATTAGCCATGATAATGCTACAAAGTTTTTGCTCCATTTCTCAAAACCCTGATGTAAATTAAATTGCAACACCCTGAAATAGGTTTCAGTTTATTCAAGATTACATGTAATATGTGGATTACAGTCATATACAGATGGATACAGGTGCCAGCCCCAAATTATGGGATGTATCAATAGTACCTAGTCTATGATTTTAGGGAAATCTATGACTGAGTAGAAAATTTCTTTGTGGGAGGCGTTTCATCCTTTAGGATTTCATCAGACCAAATTGATGCTCACATTTTGATGCAACTACATATGAAGATTGGATGCTAAAAAATTTTAACTACTTGTTGCAGGTTATATTATCTAGCTGATTTCATTTAGGGTCTTTTTTTTTTTTTTTTTTTTTTTTTATTAAATATCCCACATTGTGATAATAGATCAGCCAAGAAAGGTTAAATGTAAGAACATAACATAATGGAAGTTTATATGTATATTATTTTTGTGTGTTAACACAGGCCTGTATTCTCACATGTATACAGACTCTGCTTACATCCACTGTTTGGTGAATGTAAATGATCAGTAAGCATTAATATATATATATCACTGGGTGCAATTTGTTTGGAGTGATCCCATGATATGCCTCTGCTCCACGTTCATTTTTAATGTTCCTGCATTTTGCTAAATTACTTTTTACTTGTGATCTGTAACAAGGGGAGAAAAATATAGGTTATTGGAGGGAAGGTTCAGTGTCTACTGCCATAGCAGCAACATAATAAAATAGTAGGAATTACTTTTGGAGCATCTCACTTTCTCTCTCACACACAATTTCAGATAGAATATATTTTCAAAAGGACAATGAAAAATAACCAAAGGAAAACTTAGCGAATGTATAAGTTTTCCTTTGGTGTCTGTCTCTTGTGTGTGTGTATTAGTCATCCACAAATACTGTTTCACTGTATCACAGCTCATCAGTGTGATTAGACATGTGATAGCTTAAAGCTGGGATTGAAACCTGATTGATTTGACGTCAGTCGGAGTCTCTCGCCCTTAGGCTATTGATGAAAGTGAATTTTTAACACATTATATACAAGATGCAAGCATTACTATCTACCAGAGTGCTCAATTCATAGCGAAGAGTTTTAGTGTTAATTAGAAGCAGCTAACAAATTCCCTTTCTACCAAAGTGCTCACCCTATGAGAGGGCTGGCTAGCTGGCTGTGTGTGTGCGCATATATAAATCTATTAAATTGTATTACTACTGTATATTCAATAGTAATCTTGTCATGTGTACATTTTTGACCCCTCTTTAAAATGTTTTTTTTTTCTCTCTCTCTCTCTCTCCAGGTCAGTTAGTGTGCCGCATAGAGGAGGAACACTTATGGGAGTGCAAACAATTGGGTGCCCACTCGCCCCATGTCCTACTGAACACACTCATCTACTTTAATACCAAACACTTTCTACTAAAGAATCCTGAAGACCACATCAAGTTGTCCTTCACTCATATCATGAAACACTGGAAGAAAGGCACACCTGGAAAAGGAGGTTCCGGGCGCTGTGTTTACCTCAGATATTACTGCAGTACGCCTTCTATTAGATGTCATAGCCAGTTGGGGGAAACTGCCACAATCTTTAATATAACACAATACTTTATTGCCAATGTTTCTTTTTAAATGTTTAGGATTTTTGTTTTATTCTACTTGAAAGAAACTGAATTCTTTTAATCTTATTGACAAGTATGCATATTACTCACCAAAACTTAAGATAACATTGACATTGTTGTCTATTTAATTTAATGACATTTGACTTTTCCTTAATCTTCAGCATTCTGCATTATTAATATTACTTCTCATTCCACTACAAGGCCTCTCAATTGCAGTAAGCCTATTGTTAATTTCACTCAAAGGTGTTTTCTGTTGCCTTAGCAGGATATGACAAGACAACTATTAAATTTGAACAAATTCAAATTCAGGGATCAATCACCTTCAGTAGTAGGATAAACTTTTTGCATGGCAAATGAAGATACATACAGAGTGATAAAGGTTAAATGTTAATATATTATTGATAGGATGAAATTAAGGTACTCCTGGGTGTTGCATAAGATCTCAAAACTGCCACTTCTAAAAAACCAAACATTAATTTGCTTCTGCTTCAAAAAATGAAGGGTTACTTTCTAATGATTGGCCGTTTTAGTTCAGAGTTAGAAAAACTAAAATTATCTTTCAAGTCTTACATTTACTTAGATATTTATTGCATATACAAAAATATTTGTTGAAACTTGTCCAAAGTGGTTATATCAAGACATTAAAGTTTTCAAAACATTTATCATAGTTAATAGAACCAAACAGGGAGTCTTGACTTATGGTCTGGTCAAAGATTCTGGTTTCAATGGTAATTGCCACTGACAGAGCAGTTGAAAAAACATTTTTCCTCTTATTTTTCAAAATTACTTTTAATTACAACAGCCTAAAGATTGTTGATTAGACATTACTGACTAATATCTCTTGCTAGGTTGACTTAAAGGTGAAGAAAGCCAAAAATTGAAGCTTGTAAAATTTGCAATAATATATAAAACATTGAGTTGGGGATAGGAATCAAAAACTCAATATTTGCACAGAATGTTAAATAAAATATTTGCTTTGGTCAAAGTCAAAAATGTTCTCATTTCAATTGTGCATTTCAAATTGGCAATAAACACTGTGTATAAAGTAGTCGCAGTTTTTCTATATGGCATTTAGTAATTATTTGTGCATGTTGTGTTCAGTTTATATAAACTCCAACCAGAGGCTTGGGTCTTAAAATCAGAATCACAATTTGTCATTGATCAGGTATATTTTGAAGTAAATTCTAGATGAAAGAAATGGCTTTTTTTTTTCTTTTTTTTTTTATAAAAAGATGGGATGGAGGAGACAAAAGAAAACTAGATTTTTTTCATTTTAGAATATAGAATATTTACACAAATCACTGCAAATAATCAAAATAGTAATTAATAATTATGGATTAGATTAAAAAATTTTTTTCTTGAACTGAAGTTTAAATATCAATACTTTTAATTTATTTTTTATTTTTTTCCAAAACTCTCATACATGAGAACACACTTTAAATCTTAAATTTATGCCCTAAAAAATATTTAGAGAAACTTGTCTTTTATGTAATTTTGATAAATTTCATTCTAGTGGTTATGAGTTTACATAAATTGTTTTATTTTTCTTTTCATCTCTGATTTTTGAAACTCATTTGTGCATCATTGGCTAGCTGTATGCTTAGATCTTCCTTCCTTCCTTTTTCTATTTTGTAGCAAATGCATGCCATTTTCCTGTCAACTTTTCCATATCACCGTGCTCACCTCCTTAGCTGTTGTCTTGTACAAACTTACTCTTAGAAATTTGTTTTGTCTCTCCATTCTCTCAATTCTTCTTTTTTTTTCTTAGTTCCTTACTTAGTTGACCTAAATAATTGTTAGAAGGAAGTACTGCATAGTTTCTTTTTTTTTAGATTTAGTGACATTCTCTAGATGATTCCAGTTTTCCCTGTAATTGGTTGTTCATACTTTTTTTTTTTTTTTTTTTTTTTTAAGGTTCAACAGGTGACACATCATAGTATTAAGAAAGCATTCTGCCATTTTCAGTAAATTTCTTGTTTTATGTATTCTTTTTGTATTAAGTGATTATTTAGACTATGAAATGTAATTTTAAAGCTGCTTTTGAAATAATTGATGAAATGTTTAGCAAGAACCTGTAACTTTTAAATAGATATTTAAGTTTTCTCTCCAAAAACTTTATCAATCTTAAATGTTTTGTCAATAAATAATATTTTTATAAAATACTAAACTGAACACTTCAAGTGGTAATTTTATTTAATATATAAATTTAAATCCTTAAACTAATCAATAAGTATTAAATTAAATCGTAGTTTACAGATCATACCATTTTAAAAGGAAAAAGAAAGAAAGATATTATGGAGTTGAAAGAAGTACAAAAATTCATGTCCTGATAAATTGAAAAATATATAAAACTTCTACAATTTTTTTTTCTTTTGTTAAAGACTAACTTTAAGAGAAATTTTTGTTTTTACTGAGCACACCAACCACAGTAACTGAATAATTTATGTCACTTCCAGTATTTGAAAAGCTGAGTTATTTTTTTTAAAATCTATTTAGGAATGAAAATATTTCCTTTTTTCTTTTTTTTGTTTTTTTAAACAAAACACCAGAAATTGAACAATTTCTATTGTGAATGACTTGGTCTGTTGCCAATGATTTTGTTTTATGCAGCAATCGGCTCTATTGCATTTTGAATGGAAATATTGAAATTATTAGATTTATTATTCATTTATTTGAAGCTAACTCCTAATTTAGATATGTTACTCCATCTCAAACAAAAAACTGGTGTTCTAAAATTGTTAACTTGTATGCAAAATTAATATTACTATTGTGTCTTCTGTTGTTACCAAATTTGCATTTTTGTTTGCATTTTTAATTTTAAAAAAAACAAAACAAATCCTCTGTGTCCACTATGCACAATGGTATAGTGCATATGGTATTTTGTTTGCAGCTATGTACTACGGAGGAGCAGCTGCATCATGCACAGATGCATACAACTGGTCCATTTGTGCTTTATATATAGTTTGATTTGTTATACTCTTATTAGTTGTGTACTGAGAAGTTGTTAACTATACTAATGTTTTTGCTTACATATTTGACCAATGCTTTTATCAACTGGGCCATCTAACTTGACCCAAAGAGTTGTGAGTTCAAAACCTGGCTACAGCAGAGGTGAACAAAAAAGTTGGAGACTTTAGTTACTAAAAAGGGAATTAACAGGAACAAGATATCCAGAGAAGGTATGGCATGTGGAACTAGAAAACTATCCCAGTGGGTGAAATAGTTCAGTTTAAAATTCCAACGTATATCACCTGAAGAAGGTTGGAGTGTACAATGCCTGAAACCTGATTATGACAAAGAGGTGGGCAATATTTTAAACGAATAAATTTAGATATTTTTTGTTTATAGCTAAAAACCTAGAAATTCCTACTCCTAATTTAAAAATTAAATTAGGACAGCTATTCTTTTTTTTATAAGAGCATCTTATTACTCTAGTAGGAATTTAGTTATCAGAAAATTTTGAAAGTTATTTGAGCAATCCTTATAAATGTGAAGCAGTGTTCTTCCGTTTTATATTTTGAAAAAAAATTTTTACCATCCTTGTTTGTATTGTGACCGCTTGTCAAACTTTAAATATGTTTGTCAATAGCTATCTTAGTCATTCTCATGATTACTACCCCCACATGATTTGCTGACTTTTTCTTCTAATTGAAAACTCCTCTTAAAACTTTTTATCCTCCTTTTGTTTTTCTTTCTTTTTTTTCCCCTCCTCCCCAACAGATGCAGATGCTATTAACCAAAAGAAACGTCGAGAAGAGCTGCCTGTCTATGAACAGTGTGAAAACTTGGAGAATCCATTGAGATGTCCTGTGAAACTGTATGAATTCTATTTGTCGAAATGGTAAGTAAATGGCTGATGTTTTCAATTTATGGAAACTGGTACAATTTTAGCAAATCCTAAATACTGCTACAAATCAAAAGATTGATATATATTTTGGCTGAAATGTAAATATTCTGCCTGTTTGCATTTCCAACCATTCTGCTTTGCAGGCAAGATGGAATTCTACTGCAAATGTTACATAATAATGTTAAAATGTCTTAGTGATCTCATGTCTTAAATATTTGGCCAACCTTGACAATGTTTCTCTTTATTAATATTGAGCCACTCTTTTGCTTTCCTAATTTAGTTTTATCAATTTCGAGTGTCAGTCAGGTATGTGCCATGTGTGATACACATATAGGCGATCATGACTGATGAGGCAGATCTTTATTTTTTCTGCAGTAGACCAGTTGCCATCCAAGACTATAGAAACCAGTCTGCCCTGCTATTTACCCATAGCTGGTGGGAGAAGAGGATTCATATCTTTCCCATGGGTATTAGCATGTAAGTGAATATAATGAATTTGACTGGAATTTGAACTTGGCTCTCTGATTCCTCAATCCAGGCTACTATCCATTACTCCACTGTGTCACTATCTACTCGAAATGATAAAACCTGAAAGATCTGCTTTTTTTTTTTTTTTTTCTTCTTCAAATTTTCTGTAATTATCTTATGTTTATTTTCCAGCCCAGAGAGTATTAAGAATCGTAATGATGTATTCTACCTGATACCTGAAAGGTCCTGTGTACCCGACAGTCCTGTATGGTATTCGACTCAGTCGCTCTCCAGTGACTTGATGACCAAGATGTTGAATCGGATACGATTAGTAAAAGAAATTCAAGAAGCAGCCATGAACACACAGCCAGTCTATGTGTGATTTTCAACTTCTTTTCTCTTTATCTACTTTCTCTTTGTTCTTTTTTTTTTCTTCTTCTTCTTCTTCTACAGACCCCAACAAATCTTGGCTGCTTAGTTTAACAAATCCTCCAACTGGCATGTTTTCATTTGCTGCTGCGGCAGGACGACGTGTATCATCTACATGAGCAACAGAAGCCACACTCAGTTCTGTTTGTTCTCTTCGAATTGTCTTCATTTATTTTTGGTTGTGTCCTGCTGTCCAGCATTCACCACCACCACCACCACCACCACCATGATGTCAATAACCATGACAGTGACTTCTACTCACTCACAGACCATAGCAAGCCATAGTATGTGACAGCTGTCGTTCATTCCATAGTGCTTGCTATATATCCTCCATTGTAGGCCGACGACACAGCTAACATTTATATACATGTATATATATATATATGTGTATATATAAATATATATTAATCTATGTGCGTGTGTGTATGTCTGCACGTTACATACATATGTAGTCTGCACACACATACACACATGCATATATATGTATATATTTATATATATACGTATATATAAAATACGTAGATACATATATATACACATTTTAAAAGTATTTGAAAGGAAAAAAGATTCATACTTATATGTGAATGTCTTGTGCTTTTTGTATGTTTCTTCCTAGGGAAAAAAATCATTCTGAATAAATGAGAAATCAAATTTTCATAGGTATTTGTTTTTTTTTTTTTTTTTGTTAATAAATGATAAAGTTGGACAATTTCTTTCCTGTCCATTTTATTGATTTCTGTTTACATGTTATTGTTGTGAGTTGTTAGGCTTACCAGCAAATATTTAATTTTGTCAATTTCTTCTTGATTGTGGTTTGTTTTTAAGATGCTTTTTTACTTTGGCTTTAACCCCATTTTTATATTCCACACAGATTTTGTTTTGTTTTTTTATTTTTCCTTGTCTGCCTTCTCTCACCTGTCTGTCTAGCCAATTTGCATTCTAGAAAAAATAGGACATGTGTCAACTCTTTTTATTTTATATATGAAAGAGAGAGAGGGTGTCCTATTTCAAGGTCATTTTGAGAATATGTAGTAAACATGAGGACATGTCTTATTCAACCAGGCCAGTCATTATTGACTTGTGGCATATAATTATATAATAATGATCTGAGATAATATTTTCACATTCATAATATTACTCATTTATACCAGAAAAATATAAGTTTCGTTTTTTTTTTTTTTATATTGATTTTGTAAAGCAATAATAATTCAATATTACAATATTACAATATAAATGAAAAAAATAATTTAAATCAATAAGCAAAGCCTTCTCTCTCTCTCTCTCTATATATATATATATATATATATATATATATATATATATAATAAAAGTTATTTAAAACTCCAAAGAATAAATACACTAAAACAAAAATCAGAAAGGAATAGGTAACGATAAATTGAAGGTATAATTTTGAAAATATGTTCTAATACAAAATTGATTTATTCTATGAACACAACGACAAAACCTTAACCGTTACTAATGAGAAAAGTGAGCCTGCTTATTTGTCAGCTTATCTATTTGTGGTTCAATTGAGGACAAGTGCCCTCCACAATGAAGAATGAATATGCATACAATTCCTGTATTTTGTCTTAATGGCTCATTGTTGAGAATTCAGTCTCAAAGAAGTCAATTAAAGGAAATTGCAGAAGAACAATTTCACTAAGCTCAAGATATTCTGCTTTTACTTTTATCCAAAAGGAAGTGGTGTTGAAGTTTCAAAACTTATCTTCAATCCTTCATCAGCAACCAGCCTTAACAATTTATCCTTCCATACTGACACTTAAGAGAAAGTCGTCTCTCAATAGCATAAGTGGATTTTGGGTTCATCCCGTCCCTTTTTTTGAGGATCTGCTGAAATCTGTCAAATTAATCGAGTGTTCATAGTTGCCTGCATCAACAATGTCATAATCTCCTGACACTCGACTCTTCCATGCCTGCTGATCTTGTCTGCCATTGTAAAACAACACAATCCTCTCTTGCGTGGAGGCATTGAAATCATTAAAAATTTTTTTTTTTTTTTTTTTTATTTTGAAGAAAATTGGCAAGTTAGTTTTATTGTTCAAATAGTCTTGACAACTTTTCTCCTTGATGAACAATGTACATTTGCATGAAGTAGTTGTTTATGATCAGCTTCAATATCATATAATGCATGTATCATATGTATCTAATAATAAAAATATTAAAATTATTATTAAAAAATTATAGAAAATTTAAATATAAATTTTATGTATTTTGCTTGTGGTGGGATTTGGTCTGTTTTTCAATTCTTGATATCAAAATTTCATTTTTTTTAATGTCCAAACGAAAAAAAAGATTTAGAAAAAAAAAACATGCAGCCATTATTCTGAAATTCTGCCATAACATTGTAAGTAGTATTTTCACCAAGTGGGTAAGTGAAGCTTATGTTGCCAGGGTTACCAGTTGTATCCTTTTCAGATCAAAGGGGTATTTGGAGACCTTACGGCATGCTATGTGCACCAATTCACTGCATACAGTTCTTCCACAATGTGTGTTCGGTTATACACAAGCCTTGATCACTATAATCAAAGCAGATGTGTTGGTAAAGTCGCTGTTTGGTTCTAAGAACTGAAACACAGGAACCTCATACATTAAATACAATATCAGGAGTTGAAATTTTTTATATTCAAAATGCAATTCACGCCTTCTGGTAAAATAGCCATGTCATTCTCTACCCGTATGCAGTATATAACAAGGACACACCTGGCTTATTAAGTCATATCAAACATGTTTAAGTTCTAGTCCATTGTTTTGTTACTTTAATTATAGCAACTACTTCCACATTTCAGCCACATAAGATATTTCACTGATGGATCAATTTCACAATATAGACATTTCAAGGCTCGGTAATATCTATGGTGAAAAAGATCATAGCCTTCAGGCAGAACGTCACTTTTTTTTTTTCTTTTTTTTTTTTTTTTTTCCCCTGCTTTCTGATTTGCCATGGCAAAATGTGATCAGGTAAGAGAGGCAATTAAAATAGAAGCTACTAAAGCCAATGTCATGTAAGCAAGAACCTTTTGCAAGGCTTTATTCCCCTGAAAATGTGTATACATGTTGTTCAGTGATCATTTGTCACAACTAAGATGACGTCATTCTTTAGAAGTGTATCACTATAATAACCGCTGTCCCCAGCTGCATATATTTATAACGTCATGTAAGCAAAAACCTATTATAACATTTTATTCAACTGAAAATGTGCATAGGTGTTAACCAAAATGGCGTTTGTTTTATTTGAAAGGATAAAACATTCAAGGGGAATAACTCTGGTTCCCCCCAGTTCCATATATCTATAACGTCAACGATATAGCCAGAAGAGTGGTAGTTCAAGGGGGATAACTGTAGCACCCAGCTACATATTTGTACAACGGGGATTACAAACAACAGTTGAAAATCTAATAGTCGCCCAAAAACAATTACTTACATTGGCAAAAAAAAAAAAAATTAAAAATATAACAATACTTTATATAAGCAAAGATGTCATTGGAGATAATTCTTGGAATTATTATTCAAATGCAAGTATCATTTCTGGGACAAGATTTTGTTTCATTCCTTTTGGCGATAGCAATAATTAATAGTTTCTTATGATAGTGTACATAATAAACAAGTTTAACAAAGTTATGGTCACAAAATAAAATCATGAAATCGAACAGTATGTTATGATAACTTATTGTACATCGGGTTAATACTTGAGCGCTCTGAAGTAAATTAATATGTCAAAATTACCAGGCGGAAATGGTCTGATTTTACAAATAATTTTATCTCCAACTGTTATTGATTACCATATCCAAATATGATTTGTGAAATTGTGTGGTACAGTGTATCCTTCCTACATTGCTTAGGACATCCACGTAATCAAATAAATGATCTTAACTAGGCCTGAAGCAACCAGCAGATTTTATAGCAAACAGTGTCGCCAGTAAAATCGGGATGAAAGTTTCAAAGCAACTACTCACAGTCCGAAAGCAGGGAAAGGAAATAAGTAAATGAATAAAAACTTTCGGAAACAAGTGACACTCGACGGGAAAGTATGAAATTCCGCTAATGGCCTATATAGTCAGGCACGTTCTAAAGAATGTGAATCCCACGGTGGGGGGGTGTTTTAAAGGTGGGTGGGGATCTTGTTTTTTTATTTACAGAATTTGGTGCCCATCATGAGTGTAAAATAAACTCCTCTATAAAAATAATTCATGTATATGTACTAATATGGAAAAGAATGAAGATTTTCAATAATATATGCATATTATTTGGAATGCGCCTTTCGTTTTGAAACTGGAGGAATGACACTCTGTCTTATGGTGAAAAGGAGGCATTGAGCAAATATTGGTGAACCACTGCTCTAGATAGAGTTGGTTGATTTTGTTTAACGGCATATCAACACCTCTATGGGTTATTTAATGCTGAAATCTAAATATTTTGAACGCAATTTTACGGCTTCAACTAAATATATTTTGAACGCAATTGTATATCATCAATTACAGATAAAATGTTTTGTTAGTCATTTTGCTATAAAATGTATTGTTGGTAATTCTATAAAATATATTGCTAATAATTTTACTATAAATAGGTATTGTTGGTATTTTTTATATAAAATATATTGGTATTTATAATATACAAATGTATTTTTATATTTTCACAGTGTTTTGGTTTTGTTTGAGGGTTCACTATTTGCCCATAGCTGGGACCCTAACAGGTGCTACCACTCCAGGTCAGGGTGAACCTGGTGTAACTCACCTACCGTGTCGGAGCAACCCTTGTGTCGTTGACACATCTGTCAACACACCTATCCTACACCATATTCCCCTGTCTCTGTCTCTTCTCTTTTCCCCTCAGTCGCGAGTCGCTAGCTCTCCTAGCTTGGTTGTGTAATACCGACCTTACAATCAATCGACTTTGTTTTCCTTCAGTTATGTGTGTCTGTGTTTTCGTACCGGC